GGTCTGTGTCACAGTGTGCATGAGAATGTGTGAACGACAGTGTGCCAAGTTCAGTGTCTGCCCTGCGTTTAACTGTGATGACAAAATGACAAACCTTTCAAACAGACGCCTACACTGACATTAAATCCAAACAATTTCTAATAGAGGAGTTAAAACAATACCCTGTGGTCTAGTTACTTGCAGAAACCTCTCCAATATCATTCTTTATTTTCTTACCTTCAACATGTTTTTTATTATATAACAGCTTTCACTGTCATGTGCCCTGTGGTTTTATTGTGTGTATGTTTTTGAATGTGCTGCACCACCAAGTGAGGGAACTAATTTAAAATCCACAATTTGCACAAGGAGAGGCCTGTTTAGCCATACTAGCTCCCTCCATGTGCTTTTTTTGCCAGTTGCCAGAGGCCAAGCTGAACTCTTCTGTTGAGATTCAGATTGATCCTCTGTCATCTGCTCATCACTGCTTCTCATCAGAGCCAGCCCAAGGCATAGGCGAACTAGGCGGCTGCTTAGGGCCCCCTGGCCACTTGATGGCCCCCAGTAATCAACAACAGGGCCGCAAAAAGTGGGTATACAGTGTATGTGGCACATAGGCACAACTCCTACAATTAACTGCCACAACGGCAGTAGCTCAGGAGGTAGAGCGGTCGTCCAATGACCGGAAGGTTGGCGGTTCGTTTCCCCCTAATCCAAGTCTGTCCGTTGTGTCCTTGGGCAAGACACTTAACCCACCTTGCTCCCAGTGTGTGTCCTCCACTGGTGTATGATTGTGAGTGTTGTGTGGTGGTGGTCGGAGAGGCCGTAGGCGCAGAATGGAAGCCACGTTTCCACCACCACCAAAGTGTGACTGTGTGGGCGAATGAATGATGTATCCAATGTAAAGCGCTTTGAGGGTCTCTGATAAAGCGCTATATGAAATCTGATGCATTATTATTATTATTATTACTAGGTCTGTCACGATAACAGATTTTTCCCCTCTAAATTATCATGGCCATAAAAGATCATGATCATGATATTATGAGGATATTTGTTGAAAACTTAAGAATAAAACAGAATCAGTCAAATGAAGGAAAGACGAAGCAAGGGTGTAGCAACATATTACTTTGTTAACTTCAATAATAATTTAATCAACTTTTATATCATCACCTATTTCTAATTCTTACTATCATTTGTCCTCAGCCCTCCAATTGAAACTACTTTAGAGAGGATAATGCCTCATTAAATCATTGTTTTTCATGCTTTTACTTTGGATTTTGTTTTCTTGCTCATAGGTTGCTTTATATTTTACAACTATACTTTTATTTTATTCTTATTTATATTTAGTCTTCTTTGTTTTATGACATGTGGCAATCAGCATGAAGGACCACTACTATTAAGTCACAGTACTGTGATGGTATTAATATGGTCATTGTCAATACTGATACATTGTGATAGCCCTTGTCTGCACTGTTAAACAGTGTTGTGTTGTCCATTAAGAATTGTTATAGCAACAAAGACTAAAGACAGCCACTTAACTGTGGTATAATGAATCTGAATGTCCGGTAGCTGGGATAGACGATCTGGTTTAGAGTACTCCAATATGTCTGTTATTCAAATACCTGATATGTTACTTTACATATTGCATGTCGCAGTATGTATTTTGACGATAGATACTTTGCTCTAAGCTTCATTTGGCTCCTTAAAGTTTTTTGCCGTGTGGCTCAGTGTTTCGGGAACTGACATAATTATAATTAAATGACAGCACACGCCTGGAGGTGTGTCTTAACCAGACTGAGCTCACCATCAATTATACCATAAAACTAATGGACAGGGCGTCACTAAAATGAGAATTAGCCTAATTAAAACCCAATTAAATGTTTCTCTGACGCAGTTTGACTGTGTTCATTTTAAGCAGATGCATAATTAGGTTCTCTTCTTACATTCTCTTCTCAGTCTTAGTTGTTTTACTCTGCAATGTTTCTGCAGACCAATTCTGAAATTTTTTTTTTAATTCAGCCAACTCTTTGTGTGCCTAAATTTTACCAGGCAGCTCTTCTCACAAATCCTTCATTTGTCAATATCAGGTATAAGTGCTGTAAACATATCACTGTTCAGATCAGCAACCTGTCTTTTAGCACCAATCATGAACTTTTGGATGAAGCTCAATTTTACATCACCTGTCATCACTCTGTATTGTTCAAACTCGGTACTTCCTCATAGAATCTGTGACCACAATATGTTTAAGTCTGTGAAACTTTGAGATGCATAGCTGTCACTCTAAAAAGCCTCTCCTTTGCATATGAAACACGTTCCCTGATTTAAAACTGTGGATCAGTTGTTTCAGCCTCTTCTGTTGGACATTGAGGTCTGAATAATAACCTGTTTTGATTCTGTTTTTTAGTGGTGAGAGAGCTAGAGAGGCAAATAACACATATCGACTGGCTGCTGTTTTTGATGGATTGTGAGCTTAAGTTTTCTCCCCCTTTTCCCCTCCACAGAGGATGGGCGGCTCCTCCTGCACCGACGCACCTGCGCCTCATTACCGGCAATCAGCGGCTGTACTTAAGCTCTGCTTGGAAGACTCTCAGTGCCAGATTATTCCCACACCTCCTGTGAAATCTCTGCCAGTTTTGAGCATCGCAATTTTGAGATTCATTCTCGTGAACCTGTGCTGCACTGTGTCTAACTTTTGTTCTCCTCCTCTCCCCTCCAGTGCCTCCACGAGCCCAAACCTCTGCCATGCTGCCTCCACTCACTCTCCAGATCTTTCACCTGCCTCCCAGGCGAAATCACTCACCCTCGTCTCTTCGGATCTCACACATCGGATGTAAGACCCCTTTCCTCTCCCTAACTGCACTTCAAAATAAATCCTTAAACACTTCCTGTTGCCTCCAATTTGCTTCTGGGTTCTGTTGAAAACACAACTTTGGGAAAACATTACAGAGGGTTGGCTAAGGGCTGATATGTGATACCACTATCCTATTATTGTTTTTTGCACTAATGAAATACAACAAGTTAATGATAAAAAGTTGTTTTTCTGAGTGTCTGAATTGTTTTGCTCTGCACTTTTATTTTGATTGAAACATACTTGTTTGGATCCTGTGTTTCCTCAATCCTAAGGCACTTTGTCACATCAAAAAAATTCCCTCCACTGGCCGTCACGATGATCCTCTGTCATACTACCAGATCGGTGACTTCATCAGGGGTAAGTTTCCCGCAGCGATCTTACATAACTTTTATTTCTGACAACTACAATCCGATGTATATGCAAAAGTCATGATTAGTGACAGGTAGTGCAGAGTAATTACAGCTGTAGGTGTGTCTGGCATGTGCTTAGCTAAATAATTATGTGTAATTGTATGTTTGTTGAGAGAGTTTGAGAAATTCTGCTCTATGGTAAACCCTGCTGAAGTCATACCCACTTCATGCTTGTTTCCCAAAAAGCTATTGAAACTCTGGCAAAACTTATTTTCATCACTGTTAAACCTTCAAAAGATTTCCTTAACGATATCTTTGTTATTCCTTATGTTAAACTTTAAAAATCGTCTCCTTAGCTGTGCTTTTGTGAAAGATATTGACCGCGACCAGGAAAAAATCACAGTCTCCCTCCACCAGGTGTCTCTTTCTTCCAACTTGGAGCACATCAAACTGGGTGTCATTCCCAGGGAAGAGCTTCCTATACACTACAGGTGAAAATGCAATTTAACAAATTATGACAATGATCTCTGGAAGACAAGATTATAAAAGTTATAAAATGTCAAATATTGTTAAAAGTTTTAGAATAAGAATAAGAAGAACTTTATCAATCCCCGAAGGGAAGTTCAATTGTCTGTTGTTTCACATATGTCTATAAAAGTTATCTATTATTTACAGAGAGTTATAAAGCCTGATGGCTGTTGGTACAAAAGATCTTCTGAATCTTTCTGTCCTGCAGTGAAGAGAGAGGAGCCGTCCACCACCATTTGCCCTTTGGTCCATCAAGGTGTTGTGAAGTGGGTGATCCATGTTCTTTAGAATAGTCTCCACCTTCCTCGGTGTAGATCTCTCCACCACATCCTCCACTGAGTCCAGTTTGAGTCGTACCACAGAGCCAGCCTTTTTCTTCACCAGTTTGTTAAGACGTCTTGCATCTTTGTGTTTGATACTTCCTCCCCAGCAGACTGCAGTGTAGAACAGAACACTTACTACCACAGACTGATAAAACATCTGCAGCATCTTACTACCTGTCTATTGATCAGAGTCTTCTCAGGCAAAAGAGGCGGCTCTGCCCCTTTCTGTAGAACTACTTGAAGAAGAAAAATCTGACTGCTCCAACTCGGCACATATGAAATATTTGCAATTTATTTGAAATTCAGATATCAAACCAGTAAATCTCTTAAATCTACCAATGTTCACTCCAAAGTTTTGTAATACTTAAGACACTCTCTGCTTTTATAGTTGTTTAGATTATTGTAATCCTCCTCCTCTATTTTTTTGATAGACAGGTAAGATTATTTCTCAACAGCACATCATTGCTGTGAATACAGCTCTACTCATAGACCTGTATCTGTAATCACTCATCCACCAAAACAAGTTTGGTAGATTTCAGGTTTGTTTGAAACAGAAAAAAGGGGAAAAGAAGAACATGCAAGAAGTGAATACTTTACAAAACAAGGTACAGGATTTGATGATGTATAAGTACTGCGTTCTAGTCTGACACTCTGACCCTTCTCTTAAGTCGTAGTGTTCGCGCCGCTGCCTACTCCAGTGAGACATATGAGTGTATACTGCAGAGTTGCCACGGTTACCACAACCCCTCTGTTGTGGATTACCTGCTTGAGAAGGTGGGGATCAGTGACGAGCATCCACCATCAATGATGAGAGGACTGCAGAGGTAAGATAGACATGTTGGCTAGCTGACTCTTCTAATGCCTTTTTTGGGGGGGTCTAGAATTTGAGAATTTTCTGTTTCACTCCAAAACTATATTACACAATTTTGTAATATTCCAGACACTCAAATTTTATAGTTATTTAGGTTATTGTTATCTGTCTCCAGTAGAAGCTGATTTTGAAGCAGTAGTTGATGTTGGAGAAGTTGGTTTTGTTGGAGCAGATGTTGAATTTGGAGCTTGAGATTTGGTCAGGGCTGCTGTTGCTGCTGTTGCAGTGTTGGCAGTTGGAGGTAGAGCCATCATTGCAGTTGGTCCTAAAGCAGTGGTTTCTGGAGAATTTTAGAAAAAAAAAATGTGATCAATTGCATTTAATCCAAATTGTATAAGGTCTTCTCTCAAATTCACAGGAGTTAAATTATACCACCCAAATGTACATTATCATATGTACATACACATACATATTATTCTTAGAAGAAAAATATTTGGAAGAGAAATGTGCAGTAATTATTTTGGCAATGTTTCCTCAATGTGTTTGTTTCTGCCAAGCTGAATTCTTCATGACTGAGTTAACATGATGGCGCAACATGGCTCAAATGAACCTTAGCCAAAAAGGGGATTCATCTAAAATGGGAAGGTAAACACAAGACAAGACAAGACATTTCCTCTGCAAGTCTGACATGGGAAACAATGTGATGTCCGTAAGTTAATGTGGCTCTGAATTAACATTCGCTACATGTGCAGTGTTGTTTTAAAGGTACTGGAAGTATTGACCCCGTGTTAAAGCTCATACGTAGAGATTTGAGATTTATGACTATGTGTCATGGACTGTACTTGCAATGAACTGAAAACTTGCCAAATGCATACTAACTACGTCCACCTGTCCTTTGGTAACACAACACTCCACTTAGGGTTTTTTGTGCAACCTCTGTGTTTCAAATGACAAGATTCTCCAGAGTGAGCTTCACCCGCATCATTATCATGAAGGTCATACTGTTAAAATTCTTTTGAGCTTAATCTGCCCCACTACAGCTAAAAGGCACCACCACCTTGTTAACAGTAGTTACTACAACTACAAAAGAAATTTGGTAAGACCCACAGATATGCTGACATGGTGACGCCTGGTGGATTCACCCAAGTTGATTCAGATGATTTACTTTATGCAGAAGTCTATGATTTACAGCGAATAATTCATTAATGAATAAAAGTATTGTCTGTCTTCATATGATAGGTGGCAACATGCCTCTTTTCACCTTAAGGCCGTTTCCCGGTTGACCTATTAAGTCTGACAACAAAACAATAAGCAAATGCAAAACACCAAGAACCCATTAACAGCTCTGTAGATTTGAAACAGTACGAAAGCTTCGTCTTTTATCCTTTCCCTTCTTTCACTGTCAAGGTTTCTACATTAGTTTCATATTCTTCAATTCCTGGGTCAAAGCCTGACATGTGAACTGCAGAGCAACCACTTGACTGTGATACCAGAATGACAGCTGGTGTGAGGAACTTATCAGAGTGTCTGAGACTTTGTAAAATGTTTTCTCTTTTGCACAGAAGTTCCCTAGTTACCAAGCTTGCCAGCCAGATTGCTGCTCCTACAGTGAAATATGTCAATTCAGAGTTGTGGAAACCTCTCCGAACACCTCTTTGACAAATCTGATCTCTTTGTTGTAATTTCTTAGTACTGTCATAATAATTTGACACTAATCTCTAACATCTCCACTGCCTTAGATCAGTGAAACAGAGCACATAGTGAAAACATCCCTATATTTTAAGTCATGGAGAGCTTTTTAGATTCAAGTCAACAAATCTTGAAAGAGGATCTTCTGTATGCCTACAGTGTCAGCCTCGTTGTTAAAAACACCTTTTCTTGCACCTCTAGGGGAACACATATAAGAGTGGCTGTAGATCACAGTGAAGAACAACAATTTTTATGGTGTCGGCTCAGATTGCACTCATAGAAAACATTATCTATCATTCATTCAAACAACACCTACAGTATGACAATCATTTACAATGGCAATCAGTAAAAGTCCACACGAAGCTTCTTCTCATTACCTCGGACTTGTATGATCTTCAGTGTCACACTGTAGGGTTTTTCTTTCAGGAGCTGATTCTTTAAAACCTAAACAGAGAGAGAACAAACAACAATCACTTGAAATAATAGGCTTTCTATCATTGTTGTTGTTGTTGTTAGGTAAATAGCTTTTGCAGAAATTGTTTACCATTTTCTTCTTCACATACCTTTTCTAGAGCTTGAATGATGATTACATTGCTGCCCTCATGGAGCCCTCCAGGAATATTAGCTTTCACTTTAAGGTGTGCACGTATCAGCATGCCTTGGGAGGAAAAAAAATTAATGAAAAGATGTAGAACTTGAGTGTTTTAATGATGATATGACTCTTGTAAAGATGATACTTACATCCAATTATTGCAGTTTCATTATTTTTGTTTACAGACCATAGCTAGATGTTGGGTCATTCCATGAAATCGTGCCTTTTGCGTCCCCAAGAAGTAATAATTTATTAATTTATAATAACAATAAATTAATATGTAATTTAAAAATATAACATTACCATGTCTCCTCTCTTTAATATAACATCAAATTAAAGTAAATTAAATATCATTTTAAATAATCAAAATTACTTTTATACTGATGAGGGTGAGGTTTTTGGCCTGTCCCTCACTACTGTTGTTGTACGTAAATGTACGGTCTTATTGTTAAACAGTGTTTTTGGTAATAATATATATTAGTCATTATAAATGCTTATCAATTTATTTATTTTATTTACCCTGTTACCCTAACTAAAAAACCCTAAAAAATAATGGTACATTCCAGATTTGACATGAGGTTGCATCATCTCTGAGCCAGGATGCTAACAGCTCAGTGACAGTTAAGTTTCTCTCATCTCTGATGTGCTATTTGTGAGGTTTTTTCAAGGTTTAACCAGGGGGGACAAGCATACAATGTCAATCCTGTTACCACTTTTTAACATATAAACCTAAACAATTTCTATTTCTCAAAATATAATCAATATCTACAAGTAATTGCCTTTCAAAGTACACAGCTTGCATTTTAGCTTAAAATTGTCAACTCTGTTACTGTCAGCCCTGTTACCTTTCCACAGTAACAGGATTTGACATGTGAGAAACAGGGATGACATAGAATAGTGTTTACCCTTGTACACAGTAGCGGTTCTAGGCACGGGCGAACAGGGCAGCCGCCCGGGGCGGCATTTGTGTCATGACTCATGGGGGGCGGCACGAGCACTTCCAAAAAAATAAAATAAAAGATAATAATAATAAAGCTTAACCGCAAAGCGGTTTTGTATTAACTCTTGTTGTCAAATTGGCGCCCCCCCCCCCCCCCCGCTGCTGTAGGCGCCCCTGCTTGCTCCGAAGGTGCTGCACAGAGGCTGACAGACTGTAGGAGACGAGGCGGGGAGAGAGTCGCGGGGGGACAGCTCTGCTCTGTGTACGCATGTCAGCATATCAGCGGGAGCGGGGATACGTCATTTTGTAGTTTTTTCATGATTTCTGGAGTCGCGGTGAATGAAATCACCGTACCCGTCTGCCTTTGATAGGCGAATAAAGCGCTCGGGTTCATGCTCGGATCTTGCTACGTGCTTGATGAGCTTCATGAGTAAAGTAAACAATGACTGAGGCAGAGAGCAGCTTCAGAGGAGAAACATCCAGCAGTGTGAACAACTTCTTCATACGGAGCGCTTTGGCTCACACTATCAGCGTTTTCTGTGAGTGTTGCATGACTTTGGGTGAGAACAGGGATGAACACACTGTCAGCCACGTATTTATTTATTCATTTTATAGTGTTTAGTTCTGCTTTTGTACTGGCACTATACTGGGGCAGCTGTATACCCTTTCAACACCTTATTTTCTATATTTACATTTGTATTGAATGGACACTTTATCATGACTGCCACTTGTTTTACAGAAAGCAAATTATTTGTCATTCTCCAGTGCAGAGCCTTTACTTTTATTTATACAGCCGCTTTATTTCATTTGAGTTTGTTTGTTCAAGGTTTTCAAAATGTGATGAAGGTTCGCAAAACTAAAAGAGAGCTTTCTTGAAAGCCACATGTTTAAGGTCTCAAATACTTTTTGAATTTTGTTTCTATCTACTACAGAGGCCGAGATAGCAGCTTTTTTGTAAACCTTAACACTTCAGAAAACCTCAGGATCTGGGGGCCCTTCTGAAAATGGCCCTCAGAATTGTGTTTTTTTCTATTGAAGGATTTCTGCAACTGAGAAATATATTATTTTTGTTGTTATAATAATAATACTACATAGTAATACAAAACTATCTGTTCAAAATTCTATCTCTTTTTGTGTGTGTGTGTGTGTGTGTGTGTGTGGGGGGGGGGGGGGCACTTGGAGAGGTGCTCGCCACTGCTTGTACACTCTTTAAAGGTTAACCTTTTTAAAATAAAAACATTTTTAGGTCATCAAGTAAACATTATTGAGCTAATAAATGTTTTTTGATTGATTGATTGATTGATTGATTGATACACCAGTATCGAGAGCTAGTTACTAAGTGTTCAGTTACTTTTACTCTTGTCATCCCTGTTACCATAACGTCAATACTGTTGTTGTCATTAATTTGACAAAAATGTAAAAAATGACAACTCAAATGGGCTTTCAACGCTTTCCACCACAATTTAAATTACATTGTATTTTAGATTGGGCCATTTTTCAACATTTCTCTTCTAAAAAATATCTGATATATGTTGAGACATGTGATCGCCATGCAAAATGAGGGTATATTTGATCATCTAAATGACAAATATCTAATTGGAGAAAAAAATCCACAGAATAAAATAATCTCAATGGAAAGAGAGACTAAAGTACTGCTAATATATGTACCATATATGGCATATTTCTAATTAGAATATTGTATTTTGTTAAGTTTACAACAAAAACCTGTCGGTAACAGGGTTGACAAGATTATGTGATAAATTCTAAGTTTCACTGAGAAAGTTAGACATCTGTGTATTTTGTAATAATCTGTGTATTCTGTCAGTGCATAATACTTTAAACCAACAAAAATTGAGACATAGACGTTGATTTTTACTTCCCTCTACATAAAGTCCTGATTGTCTTGCCTCTCTACTTGCATTTTTAACTTCTATCATGTTAAGCTGTGTCACATGGGATTATAGAAATAGCTGTTGATATGGTTAAATTGCAATCCAAATGTTGATGGATTCAAAAATTTGTTAGTTCGAAGACATGCACATCAATTGTATCTGTTGAAGGTCTATAAAACTTCAACCTACCTGACTAATACAGATTTTCACAACACATTACACACTTACAAGTATATGAGACGCAAGTGAAAACTTGGATGATATTCATCCAGGAAAAAATTAAATCTACCTTCAGAGCAATTAGAATGTAAGTTTGAGATTCCTACTTGACAGACTTATAGCAAAATTTAAATGTAAACAGTCTTCAATGATAGGGAAGTAAGGAAAAAGAGAGGGTACATTATGATGAAATGAGTACCTTTTGTGGTTGGTGTTGCAGCTGTTGTTGGTGGAGTAGTGGTCATCTTTGTTGTTGTTGTTGGGGAACGAGAAGTGGTTGCTGTTGTTGGGGAGGCTGTTGTTGTTGGGGCAGGTGTCGTTGTTGTTGTTGGGGCAGCTGTTGTAGTTGTTGTTGTTGGGGTAGCTGTTGTAGTTGTTGTTGGGGCAGCTGTTGTTGTTGTTGTTGTTGTTGGGGCTGCTGTTGTAGTTGTTGGGGCAGCTGTTGTAGTTGTTGTTGGGGAAGCTGTTGTCATTGTTGGGGAAGCTGTTGTTGTTGTTGTCGTTGTTGGGGCAGCTGTTGTTATTGTCGATGTTGGGGCAGCTGTTGTTGTTGTCGTTGTTGGGGCAGCTGTTGTTGTTGTCGTTGTTGGGGAAGCTGTTGTAGTTGTCGTTGTTGGGGCAGCTGTTGTGGTTGTCGTTGTTGGGGCAGCTGTTGTTGTAGTTGTTGTTGGGGAAGCTGTTGTAGTTGTTGTTGTTAGGGCAGCTGTTGTAGTTGTTGTTGTTGTTGTTGTTGGGGAAGCAGTTGTTGTAGTTGTTGTTGGGGAAGCAGTTGTTGTAGTTGTTGTTGGGGCAGCAGTTGTTGTAGTTGTTGTTGGGGCAGCTGTTGTAGTTGTTGGGGGAGCTGTTGTAGTTGTCGTTGTTGGGGAAGCTGTTGTAGTTGTCGTTGTTGGGGCAGCTGTTGTTGTTGTTGTTGTTGTTGTTGTTGTTGGGGCAGCTGTTGTAGTTGTCGTTGTTCGGGCAGCTGTTGTAGTTGTTGGGGCAGCTGTTGTAGTTGTCGTTGTTGGGGCAGCTGTGGTTGTTGGGGAAGCTGTTGTGGTTGTCGTTTTTGGGGCAGCTGTTGTTGTTGTCGTTGTTGGGGCAGCTGTTGTAGTTGTCGTTGTTGGGGCAGCTATTGTGGTTGTCGTTGTTGGGGCAGCTGTTGTTGTCGTTGTTGGGGCAGCTGTTGTAGTTGTCGTTGTTGGGGCAGCTGTTGTGGTTGTCGTTGTTGGGGCAGCAGTTGTGGTTGTCGTTGTTGGGGCAGCTGTTATTGTAGTTGTTGTTGGGGCAGCTGTTGTTGTTGTTGTTGTTGGGGAAGCTGCTGTTGTTGTTGTTGTTAGGGCAGCTGTTGTAGTTGTTGTTGTTGGGGCAGATGTTGTTGTTGTTGTTGTTGTTGTTGGGGCAGCTGTTGTAGTTGTCGTTGTTGGGGCAGCTGTTGTTGTTGTTGTTGTTGGGAAGGCTGTTGTTGTTGGGAAGGCTGTTGTAGTTGTTGGGGCAGCTGTTGTAGTTGTCGTTGTTGGGGCAGCTGTTGTTGTTGTAGTTGTTGGGGCAGCTGTTGTAGTTGTTGGGGCAGCTGTTGTAGTTGTTGGGGCAGCTGTTGTAGTTGTTGGGGCAGCTGTTGTAGTTGTCGTTGTTGGGGCAGCTGTTGTAGTTGTCGTTGTTGGGGCAGCTGTTGTTGTTGTTGTTGTTGGGGCAGCTGTTGTTGTTGTTGTTGTTGTTGTTGGGGCAGCTGTTGTAGTTGTTGGGGCAGCTGTTGTAGTTGTCGTTGTTGGGGCAGCTGTTGTTGTTGTTGGGGAAGCTGTTGTGGTTGTCGTTGTTGGGGCAGCTGTTGTTGTTGTTGTTGTTGTTGTTGTTGTTGTTGGGGCAGCTGTTGTAGTTGTCGTTGTTCGGGCAGCTGTTGTAGTTGTTGGGGCAGCTGTTGTAGTTGTCGTTGTTGGGGCAGCTGTGGTTGTTGGGGAAGCTGTTGTGGTTGTCGTTTTTGGGGCAGCTGTTGTTGTTGTCGTTGTTGGGGCAGCTGTTGTAGTTGTAGTTGTTGGGGCAGCTGTTGTTGTTGTAGTTGTTGGGGCAGCTGTTGTAGTTGTTGGGGCAGCTGTTGTAGTTGTCGTTGTTGGGGCAGCAGTTGTGGTTGTAGTTGTTGGGGCAGCTGTTGTAGTTGTTGGGGCAGCTGTTGTAGTTGTTGGGGCAGCTGTTGTAGTTGTTGGGGCAGCTGTTGTAGTTTTCGTTGTTGGGGCAGCTGTTGTAGTTGTCGTTGTTTGGGCAGCTGTTGTAGTTGTCGTTGTTGGGGCAGCTGTTGTTGTTGTTGTTGTTGTTGTTGTTGTTGTTGTTGTTGTTGTTGTTGGGGCAGCTGCTGTTGTGGTTGTCGTTGTTGGGGCAGCTGTTGTTGTTGTCGTTGTTGGGGCAGCTGTTGTAGTTGTCGTTGTTGGGGCAGCTGTTGTAGTTGTTGTTGTTGGGGCAGCTGTTGTAGTTGTTGTTGTTGGGGCAGCTGTTGTAGTTGTCGTTGTTGGGGCAGCTGTTGTAGTTGTTGGGGCAGCTGTTGTAGTTGTCGTTGTTGGGGCAGCTGTTGTTGTTGTTGGGGAAGCTGTTGTTGTTGTCGTTGTTGGGGCAGTTGTTGTTGTTGTCGTTGTTGGGGCAGCTGTTGTTGTTGTCGTTGTTGGGGCAGCTGTTGTTGTTGTCGTTGTTGGGGCAGCTGTTGTAGTTGTCGTTGTTGGGGCAGCTGTTGTGGTTGTTGGGGCAGCTGTTGTAGTTGTCGTTGTTGGGGCAGCTGTTGTAGTTGTTGTTGTTGGGGCAGCTGTTGTTGTTGTCGTTGTTGGGGCAGCAGTTGTTGTAGTCGTTGTTGTTGGGGCAGTAGTTGTTGTAGTCGTTGTTGTTGGGGCAGCTGTTGTTGTTGTTGTTGTTGGGGCAGCTGTTGTAGTTGTCGTTGTTGGGGCAGCTGTTGAAGTTGTTGGGGAAGCTGTTGTAGTTGTTGTTGGGGCAGCTGTTGTTGTTGGGGCAGCTGTCGTCGTTGTTGGGGCAGCTGTTGTCGTTGTTGGGGCAGCTGTTGTCGTTGTTGGGGAAACTGTTGTCGTTGTTGGGGCAGCTGTTGTTGTTGTTGTTGTTGGGGAAGCTGTGGTAGTTGTTGTTGGGGCAGCTGTGGTAGTTGTTGTTGTTGGGGCAGCTGTGGTAGTTGATGTTGTTGGGGCAGCTGTTGTAGTTGTTGGGGAAGCTGTTGTTGTTGTTGGGGCAGCTGTTGTCGTTGTTGGGGCAACTGTTGTCGTTGTTGGGGCAGCTGTTGTTGTTGTTGTTGGGGCAGCTGTGGTAGTTGTTGTTGTTGGGGCAGCTGTGGTAGTTGTTGTTGTTGGGGCGGCTGTGGTAGTTGTTGTTGTTGGGCCAGCTGTTGTAGTTGTTGTTGTTGGGCCAGCTGTTGTAGTTGTTGTTTGGGCAACTGTTGTCGTTGTTGGGGAAGCTGTTGTTGTTGTTGTTGTTGTTGATGTTGGGGCAGCTGTGGTAGTTGTTGTTGTTGGGGCAGCTGTGGTAGTTGTTGTTGTTGGGGCAGCTGTGGTAGTTGTTGTTGTTGGGCCAGCTGTTGTTGTTGTTGTTGTTGTTGGGCCAGCTGTTGTTGTTGTTGGGCCAGCTGTTGTAGTTGTTGTTTGGGCAGCTGTTGTAGTTGTTGGGGCAGCTGTTGTAGTTGTTGTTAGGGCAGCTGTTGTTGTTGGGGTAGCTGTTGTAGTTGTCGTTGTTGGGGCAGCTGTTGTTGTTGTTGGTGGTGTTGGGGTGGCTGTTTTTGTTGTTGTTGTTGTTGGGGCAGCTGTTGTAGTAGTTGTTGGGGAAGCTGTTGTAGTTGTCGTTGTTGGGGCAGATGTCGTAGTTGTCGTTGTTGGGGCAGCTGTTGTTGTTGTTGTTGGGGCAGCTGTTGTTGTTGTTGTTGGGGCAGCTGTTGTAGTTGTTGTTGTTGGGACAGCTGTTGTAGTTGTTGTTGGGGCAGCTGTTGTAGTTGTTGTTGTTAGGGCAGCTGTTGTCGTTGTTGGGGAAGCTGTTGTTGTTGTTGTTGTTGTTATTGGGGCACCTGTTGTAGTTGTCGTTGTTGGGGCAGCTGTTGTGGTTGTCGTTGTTGGGGCAGCTGTTTTGGTTGTCGTTGGGGCAGCTGCCATCGTTGTTTGGGCAGCTGTTGTTGTTGGGGAAGCTGTTGTAGTTGTTGTTGTTGGGACAGCAGTTGTTGTAGTTGTTGTTGTTGGGGCAGCTGTTGTTGTTGTTGTTGGGGCAGCTGTTGTAGTTGTCGTTGTTGGGGCAGCTGTTGTAGTTGTCGTTGTTGGGGCAGATGTTGTAGTTGTCGTTGTTGGGGCAGCTGTTGTTGTTGTTGTTGGGGCAGCTGTTGTTGTCGTTGTTGGGGCAGCTGTTGTAGTTGTTGTTGTTGGGACAGCTGTTGTAGTTGTTGTTGGGGCAGCTGTTGTAGTTGTTGTTGTTAGGGCAGCTGTTGTCGTTGTTGGGGAAGCTGTTGTTGTTGTTGTTGTTGTTGTTGGGGCACCTGTTGTAGTTGTCGTTGTTGGGGCAGCTGTTGTGGTTGTCGTTGTTGGGGCAGCTGTTGTGGTTGTCGTTGGGGCAGCTGCTGTTGTTGTTTGGGCAGCTGTTGTTGTTGTTGGGGAAGCTGTTGTAGTTGTTGTTGTTGGGACAGCAGTTGTTGTAGTTGTTGTTGGGGCAGCTGTTGTTGTTGTTGTTGGGGTAGCTGTTGTAGTTGTCGTTGTTGGGGCAGCTGTTGTAGTTGTCGTTGTTGGGGCAGATGTTGTAGTTGTCGTTGTTGGGGCAGCTGTTGTTGTTGTTGTTGGGGCAGCTGTTGTTGTTGTTGTTGGGGCAGCTGTTGTAGTTGTTGTTGTTGGGACAGCTGTTGTAGTTGTTGTTGGGGCAGCTGTTGTAGTTGTTGTTGTTAGGGCAGCTGTTGTCGTTGTTGGGGAAGCTGTTGTTGTTGTTGTTGTTGTTGTTGTTGTTGGGGCACCTGTTGTAGTTGTCGTTGTTGGGGCAGCTGTTGTGGTTGTCGTTGTTGGGGCAGCTGTTGTGGTTGTCGTTGGGGCAGCTGCTGTCGTTGTTTGGGCAGCTGTTGTTGTTGGGGAAGCTGTTGTAGTTGTTGTTGTTGGGACAGCAGTTGTTGTAGTTGTTGTTGGGGCAGCTGTCGTTGTTGTTGTTGGGGCAGCTGTTGTAGTTGTCGTTGTTGGGGCAGCTGTTGTAGTTGTCGTTGTTGGGGCAGCTGTTGTAGTTGTCGTTCTTGGGGCAGCTGTTGTTGTTGTTGTTGTTGTTGTTGGGGCAGCTGTGGTAGTTGTTGTTGGGGCAGCTGTGGTAGTTGTTGTTGTTGGGGGAGCTGTTGTAGTTGTTGGGCCAGCTGTTGTAGTTGTTGTTGGGGAAGCTGTTGTCATTGTTGGGGAAGCTGTTGTTGTTGTCGTTGTTGGGGAAGCTGTTGTTATTGTCGATGTTGGGGCAGCTGTTGTTGTTGTCGTTGTTGGGGCAGCTGTTGTTGTTGTCGTTGTTGGGGAAGCTGTTGTAGTTGTCGTTGTTGGGGCAGCTGTTGTGGTTGTCGTTGTTGGGGCAGCTGTTGTTGTAGTTGTTGTTGGGGAAGCTGTTGTAGTTGTTGTTGTTAGGGCAGCTGTTGTAGTTGTTGTTGTTGTTGGGGAAGCAGTTGTTGTAGTTGTTGTTGGGGCAGCAGTTGTTGTAGTTGTTGTTGGGGCAGCAGTTGTTGTAGTTGTTGTTGGGGCAGCTGTTGTAGTTGTTGGGGGAGCTGTTGTAGTTGTCGTTGTTGGGGCAGCTGTTGTAGTTGTCGTTGTTGGGGCAGCTGTTGTTGTTGTTGTTGTTGTTGTTGTTGTTGGGGCAGCTGTTGTAGTTGTCGTTGTTCGGGCAGCTGTTGTAGTTGTTGGGGCAGCTGTTGTAGTTGTCGTTGTTGGGGCAGCTGTGGTTGTTGGGGAAGCTGTTGTGGTTGTCGTTTTTGGGGCAGCTGTTGTTGTTGTCGTTGTTGGGGCAGCTGTTGTAGTTGTCGTTGTTGGGGCAGCTATTGTGGTTGTCGTTGTTGGGGCAGCTGTTGTTGTCGTTGTTGGGGCAGCTGTTGTAGTTGTCGTTGTTGGGGCAGCTGTTGTGGTTGTCGTTGTTGGGGCAGCAGTTGTGGTTGTCGTTGTTGGGGCAGCTGTTGTTGTAGTTGTTGTTGGGGCAGCTGTTGTTGTTGTTGTTGTTGGGGAAGCTGCTGTTGTTGTTGTTGTTAGGGCAGCTGTTGTAGTTGTTGTTGTTGGGGCAGCTGTTGTTGTTGTTGTTGTTGTTGGGGCAGCTGTTGTAGTTGTCGTTGTTGGGGCAGCTGTTGTTGTTGTTGTTGTTGGGAAGGCTGTTGTTGTTGGGAAGGCTGTTGTAGTTGTTGGGGAAGTTGTTGTAGTTGTCGTTGTTGGGGCAGCTGTTGTTGTTGTAGTTGTTGGGGCAGCTGTTGTAGTTGTTGGGGCAGCTGTTGTAGTTGTTGGGGCAGCTGTTGTAGTTTTCGTTGTTGGGGCAGCTGTTGTAGTTGTCGTTGTTGGGGCAGCTGTTGTTGTTGTTGGGGCAGCTGTTGTTGTTGTTGTTGTTGTTGGGGCAGCTGTTGTAGTTGTTGGGGCAGCTGTTGTAGTTGTCGTTGTTGGGGCAGCTGTTGTTGTTGTTGGGGAAGCTGTTGTGGTTGTCGTTGTTGGGGCAGCTGTTGTTGTTGTTGTTGTTGTTGTTGTTGTTGTTGGGGCAGCTGTTGTAGTTGTCGTTGTTCGGGCAGCTGTTGTAGTTGTTGGGGCAGCTGTTGTAGTTGTCGTTGTTGGGGCAGCTGTGGTTGTTGGGGAAGCTGTTGTGGTTGTCGTTTTTGGGGCAGCTGTTGTTGTTGTCGTTGTTGGGGCAGCTGTTGTAGTTGTAGTTGTTGGGGCAGCTGTTGTTGTTGTAGTTGTTGGGGCAGCTGTTGTAGTTGTTGGGGCAGCTGTTGTAGTTGTCGTTGTTGGGGCAGCAGTTGTGGTTGTAGTTGTTGGGGCAGCTGTTGTAGTTGTTGGGGCAGCTGTTGTAGTTGTTGGGGCAGCTGTTGTAGTTGTTGGGGCAGCTGTTGTAGTTTTCGTTGTTGGGGCAGCTGTTGTAGTTGTCGTTGTTTGGGCAGCTGTTGTAGTTGTCGTTGTTGGGGCAGCTGTTGTTGTTGTTGTTGTTGTTGTTGTTGTTGTTGGGCAGCTGCTGTTGTGGTTGTCGTTGTTGGGGCAGCTGTTGTTGTTGTCGTTGTTGGGGCAGCTGTTGTAGTTGTCGTTGTTGGGGCAGCTGTTGTGGTTGTTGTTGTTGTGGCAGCTGTTGTTGTTGTCGTTGTTGGGGCAGCTGTTGTAGTTGTCGTTGTTGGGGCAGCTGTTGTAGTTGTTGGGGCAGCTGTTGTAGTTGTCGTTGTTGGGGCAGCTGTTGTTGTTGTTGGGGAAGCTGTTGTTGTTGTCGTTGTTGGGGCAGTTGTTGTTGTTGTCGTTGTTGGGGCAGCTGTTGTTGTTGTCGTTGTTGGGGCAGCTGTTGTTGTTGTCGTTGTTGGGGCAGCTGTTGTAGTTGTCGTTGTTGGGGCAGCTGTTGTGGTTGTTGGGGCAGCTGTTGTAGTTGTCGTTGTTGGGGCAGCTGTTGTAGTTGTTGTTGTTGGGGCAGCTGTTGTTGTTGTCGTTGTTGGGGCAGCAGTTGTTGTAGTCGTTGTTGTTGGGGCAGTAGTTGTTGTAGTCGTTGTTCTTGGGGCAGCTGTTGTTGTTGTTGTTGTTGGGGCAGCTGTTGTAGTTGTCGTTGTTGGGGCAGCTGTTGTAGTTGTTGGGGAAGCTGTTGTAGTTGTTGTTGGGGCAGCTGTTGTCGTTGTTGGGGCAGCTGTTGTCGTTGTTGGGGCAGCTGTTGTCGTTGTTGGGGAAACTGTTGTTGTTGTTGGGGCAGCTGTTGTTGTTGTTGTTGTTGGGGAAGCTGTGGTAGTTGTTGTTGGGGCAGCTGTGGTAGTTGTTGTTGTTGGGGCAGCTGTGGTAGTTGATGTTGTTGGGGCAGCTGTTGTAGTTGTTGGGGAAGCTGTTGTTGTTGTTGGGGCAGCTGTTGTCGTTGTTGGGGCAACTGTTGTCGTTGTTGGGGCAGCTGTTGTTGTTGTTGTTGGGGCAGCTGTGGTAGTTGTTGTTGTTGGGGCAGCTGCGGTAGTTGTTGTTGTTGGGGCGGCTGTGGTAGTTGTTGTTGTTGGGCCAGCTGTTGTAGTTGTCGTTGTTGGGCCAGCTGTTGTAGTTGTTGTTTGGGCAACTGTTGTCGTTGTTGGGGAAGCTGTTGTTGTTGTTGTTGTTGTTGATGTTGGGGCAGCTGTGGTAGTTGTTGTTGTTGGGGCAGCTGTGGTAGTTGTTGTTGTTGGGGCAGCTGTGGTAGTTGTTGTTGTTGGGCCAGCTGTTGTTGTTGTTGTTGTTGTTGGGCCAGCTGTTGTTGTTGTTGTTGTTGTTGGGCCAGCTGTTGTAGTTGTTGTTTGGGCAGCTGTTGTAGTTGTTGGGGCAGCTGTTGTAGTTGTTGTTAGGGCAGCTGTTGTTGTTGGGGCAGCTGTTGTAGTTGTCGTTGTTGGGGCAGCTGTTGTTGTTGTTGGTGGTGTTGGGGTGGCTGTTTTTGTTGTTGTTGTTGTTGGGGCAGCTGTTGTAGTAGTTGTTGGGGAAGCTGTTGTAGTTGTCGTTGTTGGGGCAGATGTTGTAGTTGTCGTTGTTGGGGCAGCTGTTGTTGTTGTTGGGGCAGCTGTTGTTGTTGTTGTTGGGGCAGCTGTTGTAGTTGTTGTTGTTGGGACAGCTGTTGTAGTTGTTGTTGGGGCAGCTGTTGTAGTTGTTGTTGTTAGGGCAGCTGTTGTCGTTGTTGGGGAAGCTGTTGTTGTTGTTGTTGTTGTTATTGGGGCACCTGTTGTAGTTGTCGTTGTTGGGGCAGCTGTTGTGGTTGTCGTTGTTGGGGCAGCTGTTTTGGTTGTCGTTGGGGCAGCTGCCATCGTTGTTTGGGCAGCTGTTGTTGTTGGGGAAGCTGTTGTAGTTGTTGTTGTTGGGACAGCAGTTGTTGTTGTTGGGGCAGCTGTTGTTGTTGTTGTTGGGGCAGCTGTTGTAGTTGTCGTTGTTGGGGCAGCTGTTGTAGTTGTCGTTGTTGGGGCAGATGTTGTAGTTGTCGTTGTTGGGGCAGCTGTTGTTGTTGTTGTTGGGGCAGCTGTTGTTGTCGTTGTTGGGGCAGCTGTTGTAGTTGTTGTTGTTGGGACAGCTGTTGTAGTTGTTGTTGGGGCAGCTGTTGTAGTTGTTGTTGTTAGGGCAGCTGTTGTCGTTGTTGGGGAAGCTGTTGTTGTTGTTGTTGTTGTTGTTGGGGCACCTGTTGTAGTTGTCGTTGTTGGGGCAGCTGTTGTGGTTGTCGTTGTTGGGGCAGCTGTTGTGGTTGTCGTTGGGGCAGCTGCTGTCGTTGTTTGGGCAGCTGTTGTTGTTGTTGGGGAAGCTGTTGTAGTTGTTGTTGTTGGGACAGCAGTTGTTGTAGTTGTTGTTGGGGCAGCTGTTGTTGTTGTTGTTGGGGCAGCTGTTGTAGTTGTCGTTGTTGGGGCAGCTGTTGTAGTTGTCGTTGTTGGGGCAGCTGTTGTAGTTGTCGTTGTTGGGGCAGCTGTTGTTGTTGTTGTTGGGGCAGCTGTTGTTGTTGTTGTTGGGGCAGCTGTTGTAGTTGTTGTTGTTGGGACAGCTGTTGTAGTTGTTGTTGGGGCAGCTGTTGTAGTTGTTGTTGTTAGGGCAGCTGTTGTCGTTGTTGGGGAAGCTGTTGTTGTTGTTGTTGTTGTTGTTGTTGTTGGGGCACCTGTTGTAGTTGTCGTTGTTGGGGCAGCTGTTGTGGTTGTCGTTGTTGGGGCAGCTGTTGTGGTTGTCGTTGGGGCAGCTGCTGTCGTTGTTTGGGCAGCTGTTGTTGTTGGGGAAGCTGTTGTAGTTGTTGTTGGGGCAGCTGTTGTAGTTGTAGTTGTTAGGGCAGCTGTTGTCGTTGTTGGGGAAGCTGTTGTTGTTGTTGTTGTTGTTGTTGGGGCACCTGTTGTAGTTGTCGTTGTTGGGGCAGCTGTTGTGGTTGTCGTTGTTGGGGCAGCTGTTGTGGTTGTCGTTGGGGCAGCTGCTGTCGTTGTTTGGGCAGCTGTTGTTGTTGTTGGGGAAGCTGTTGTAGTTGTTGTTGTTGGGACAGCAGTTGTTGTAGTTGTTGTTGTTGGGGCAGCTGTTGTAGTTGTCGTTCTTGGGGCAGCTGTTGTTGTTGTTGTTGTTGTTGTTGGGGCAGCTGTGGTAGTTGTTGTTGGGGCAGCTGTGGTAGTTGTTGTTGTTGGGGGAGCTGTTGTAGTTGTTGTTGTTGGGCCAGCTGTTGTAGTTGTTGTTGGGGCAGCTGTTGTAGTTGTTGTTGGGGCAGCTGTTGTTGTTGGGGCAGCTGTTGTAGTTGTTGTTGTTGGGGCAGCTGTTGTAGTTGTAGTTGTTAGGGCAGCTGTTGTCGTTGTTGGGGAAGCTGTTGTTGTTGTTGTTGTTGTTGTTGTTGTTGGGGCACCTGTTGTAGTTGTCGTTGTTGGGGCAGCTGTTGTGGTTGTCGTTGTTGGGGCAGCTGTTGTGGTTGTCGTTGGGGCAGCTGCTGTCGTTGTTTGGGCAGCTGTTGTTGTTGTTGGGGAAGCTGTTGTAGTTGTTGTTGTTGGGACAGCAGTTGTTGTAGTTGTTGTTGTTGGGGCAGCTGTTGTTGTTGTTGTTGTTGGGGCAGCTGTTGTAGTTGTCGTTGTTGGGGCAGCTGTTGTAGTTGTCGTTGTTGGGGCAGATGTTGTAGTTGTCGTTGTTGGGGCAGCTGTTGTTGTTGTTGTTGGGGCAGCTGTTGTAGTTGTTGTTGTTGGGACAGCTGTTGTAGTTGTTGTTGGGGCAGCTGTTGTAGTTGTTGTTGTTAGGGCAGCTGTTGTCGTTGTTGGGGAAGCTGTTGTTGTTGTTGTTGTTGTTGTTGTTGGGGCAGCTGTTGTAGTTGTCGTTGTTGGGGCAGATGTTGTAGTTGTCGTTGTTGGGGCAGCTGTTGTTGTTGTTGTTGGGGCAGCTGTTGTTGTTGTTGTTGGGGCAGCTGTTGTAGTTGTTGTTGTTGGGACAGCTGTTGTAGTTGTTGTTGGGGCAGCTGTTGTAGTTGTTGTTGTTAGGGCAGCTGTTGTCGTTGTTGGGGAAGCTGTTGTTGTTGTTGTTGTTGTTGTTGTTGTTGGGGCACCTGTTGTAGTTGTCGTTGTTGGGGCAGCTGTTGTGGTTGTCGTTGTTGGGGCAGCTGTTGTGGTTGTCGTTGGGGCAGCTGCTGTCGTTGTTTGGGCAGCTGTTGTTGTTGGGGAAGCTGTTGTAGTTGTTGTTGTTGGGACAGCAGTTGTTGTAGTTGTTGTTGTTGGGGCAGCTGTCGTTGTTGTTGTTGGGGCAGCTTTTGTAGTTGTCGTTGTTGGGGCAGCTGTTGTAGTTGTCGTTGTTGGGGCAGCTGTTGTAGTTGTCGTTCTTGGGGCAGCTGTTGTTGTTGTTGTTGTTGTTGTTGGGGCAGCTGTGGTAGTTGTTGTTGGGGCAGCTGTGGTAGTTGTTGTTGTTGGGGGAGCTGTTGTAGTTGTTGTTGTTGGGCCAGCTGTTGTAGTTGTTGTTGGGGCAGCTGTTGTAGTTGTTGTTGGGGCAGCTGTTGTTGTTGGGGCAGCTGTTGTAGTTGTTGTTGTTGGGGCAGCTGTTGTAGTTGTAGTTGTTAGGGCAGCTGTTGTCGTTGTTGGGGAAGCTGTTGTTGTTGTTGTTGTTGTTGTTGTTGTTGGGGCACCTGTTGTAGTTGTCGTTGTTGGGGCAGCTGTTGTGGTTGTCGTTGTTGGGGCAGCTGTTGTGGTTGTCGTTGGGGCAGCTGCTGTCGTTGTTTGGGCAGCTGTTGTTGTTGTTGGGGAAGCTGTTGTAGTTGTTGTTGTTGGGACAGCAGTTGTTGTAGTTGTTGTTGTTGGGGCAGCTGTTGTTGTTGTTGTTGTTGGGGCAGCTGTTGTAGTTGTCGTTGTTGGGGCAGCTGTTGTAGTTGTCGTTGTTGGGGCAGATGTTGTAGTTGTCGTTGTTGGGGCAGCTGTTGTTGTTGTTGTTGGGGCAGCTGTTGTAGTTGTTGTTGTTGGGACAGCTGTTGTAGTTGTTGTTGGGGCAGCTGTTGTAGTTGTTGTTGTTAGGGCAGCTGTTGTCGTTGTTGGGGAAGCTGTTGTTGTTGTTGTTGTTGTTGTTGTTGGGGCACCTGTTGTAGTTGTCGTTGTTGGGGCAGCTGTTGTGGTTGTCGTTGGGGCAGCTGCTGTCGTTGTTTGGGCAGCTGTTGTTGTTGTTGGGGAAGCTGTTGTAGTTGTTGTTGTTGGGACAGCAGTTGTTGTAGTTGTTGTTGTTGGGGCAGCTGTTGTTGTTGTTGTTGGGGCAGCTGTTGTAGTTGTCGTTGTTGGGGCAGCTGTTGTAGTTGTCGTTGTTGGGGCAGCTGTTGTAGTTGTCGTTGTTGGGGCAGCTGTTGTTGTTGTTGTTGTTGTTGGGGCAGCTGTGGTAGTTGTTGTTGGGGCAGCTGTGGTAGTTGTTGTTGTTGGGGGAGCTGTTGTAGTTGTTGTTGTTGGGCCAGCTGTTGTAGTTGTTGTTGGGGCAGCTGTTGTAGTTGTTGTTGGGGCAGCTGTTGTAGTTGTTGTTGGGGCAGCTGTTGTAGTTGTTGTTGTTGGGGCAGCTGTTGTAGTTGTAGTTGTTGTTGTTGGGGCAGCTGTTGTTGTTGTTGTTGTTGTTGTTGTTGGGGCAGCTGTTGTTGTTGTTGTGGCAGCTGTTGTAGTTGTCGTTGTTGGGGCAGTTGTCGTTGTTGGGGCAGCTGTTGTTGTTGGTGGGGCAGCTGTTGTTGCTTGTGAGGCAGCAGTACCTGTGATAATACATACATTTTGGTTTGGGTTATGTTTATCTAAGGTTTTTTACTGTTGATTTGTTTGTTTTTACAATTTTTAGTAGCATTTAATAATAGCAGGTAATAAGATGATGAGATTAGTGAAAATAGGATATAGGCAAGCAGTAGTTGGGGCCCCTCTGTCAAATTTCATGAGTTTTTCAGCATGTCTAGGGGGTTTTAATGTTGAAAAAAACTTTATCATAATAATAACCAGCACCTTACAGGACCAAAAGGGGCCCAAGCAGTATTGCGGTGCTGCCTTTGTAAACCACCTTCCCAGTGCACTGTTACCATTTTGCACGACTTGCCATCCCCTGTGCAATGATCTTCACAGCAGCCCTAACCTTTGTGATTGTTAGTACCTGTGACTGCCTTTGAGTGTTGTAGGTCATTTACTTTGAAAAGCTGTCAGAGTTTAAAGGACGCCATGGCCATGCCCTTTGACCAAAACAGATGTTTTTTTCCCAATTTTTCCGGTTGGGTGTGGCCTATGGGTATGGGTGAGGCTTTTTTGTTTGTCTTAAGGTCCTTCATAAGCATTCTATGTTCCACATAGTGGAGGGGCTTCATTTCAGAAATTTAGTGGGGGGTGCTCTGGAGCCTTTTTTTGTTTGATCTCTATGTTGACATTGAAGCCCTCAAGAGGGCGCCCCTCAAGATCTGTGTACAAAATTTCATGTCGCTGTGCCTACCTATAGCAATATTACAGATTGTTAATGCCAGCTAGGTGAAGTTTAGAGAAACATGGTGCTGATTTTATTGCCGCTCTGGTACCCCAGAAATTACGGGCCATTAATTGTAAAAAGCATTCCTTCTGCCACCAGGTGGCACTACAACATACGGATGTAAGTTTGGTGTCAAATTGTCTGACACTTGACTGTCATCAAATGAATAAAATCTGGTGGAGGTGGAACCAGTGCACGGGAAGTTACACAGGAAATTCCACGAGCATGAAATCTGTATTTTTTCTTCATATATATAGGGGCCCACCTGCCTGCCAAGTTTCATTACTTTTTTAGCATGTCTAGGGGATTTTAAAGTTGAAAAAACTTGAATCATGACAATAATAAGAATAATGATAAAAATAAATGATTCCTGCAATTTCAATTGGGCTCTCACCCGCTGCTCTCAGTGTTGGCTCTGGCCCTAGTAAAACAGGTAAACTCAACATGCTCAGCATTAGAACATGCTTTTGGCAGATTTACTTTTATAATTGTGATGTTTTAATGATTCAGTTTAACAGTCACATGTATGTGTAAAGTTACTGGGGTGTCATTTTTATTGCCATACATGACTTGGAGTAAATAACATCTTTAAAACAGGTTCATCTAATCAGACCCCCTAATCATAATTGTTTTTAAAAAAAGATCAGAAGCAGGCAATGAAAAGATAGCTGCATGTTAATCACAGTCAAATCAGTTCTCTTTTCATCGTAATTGTCCCCAGCTTAACTGGTACAATAGAATAGATATAAAAGTAAATTATTGATTGTTGATTCTGTCATCAATACTTACTTTGTCCAGAGGATAGATGTAAATATCCAAGCATTAACATCCAATAAAGAAGTCTTCTGTCCATGTTGATGTTACCTCCTTGTTAGTGCTCATGTAGACAGGTGCTCAGTCTATGATTGTACCTGTTTTTATGCTCTTAACAGGTGGATAACTCCTCCCTCACACCTGTGTGTGTGTGTGTGTGTGTGTGTGTGTGTGTGTGTGTGTGTGTGTGTGTGTGAGTGTGAGTCCCTGACACACAGTTTCATCAAATCAATGACTAAATCATTGTTGAATCACAAAAAAGGAGTGTCAGTTAATTGCTATAGGGGTCGGGTTACAGCAAACATAATTAATCGAGTTTTATGTTTGAATTTTCTACATTAGAAGAATCTCCTGGTTCATTTTCAGAGCTACAGCTAAGGTGTGTCATTTGTTTTTAACTCCTGCATAAAAGTTGAATATTTATTTTGTGTGTGTATCAGAAGTAGATTGAGTGAAGTAATATGTTTATTTCTTTTCTATTTGCATGTAGAGCTACTTGTATTGCAACACAGAGGGGGGAAAAACATTAGAAAGAAAAATAAGCAGGAAATTATTTGTATTCTGATGCATAAATTCAGAAATTATCTGTAAAAAATCAAATCTCTTTCATGCACCATGTTGTTCAGAGAGTACTGGGGAGAAATCAATCCTGTGTTGATGCACATATTCCAAGTTTAAACACTTGTGACTTTATAACATATGCTTGTAATGCTTTGACAATTTCGCATGCTGAATATAGCAACAAGTCTGTTGGCAACACAAGTGGTGAGTCCAACACTTCACTGAAGGTTTACTGTGCAACTTCTGTGTTTTGTTTCATATCACTGGATTTTTCAGGGTGGAGTAGATTTACTGCGTTATCCTGAACTAATGCCTATTCACTAAATCTGCATCTTACTGGAAACCTGCAACAAGGTTGGAGAACAGGTCTACCCACACATGCTTCGGCGTTGTATGGCACCCAGCCAATTCTCTCTCTTGTGAGAAACTTTTCAATCCATTTTTTCCCAGTTTTAAACAACTTTTAAGGTTGCATTCTAAGAGTTTGCTGACTTTGTCATCTATGTCTAATAATTCTTACGTATCATTTGTCCTCAGCCTACTGACTCAAACTACTTTAGAGAGGATAATGCCTCATTAAATCATTGTTTTTCATGCTCTTATTTTGGATTTTATTTTTCTTTCTCATAGGTTGCTTTATATTTTACAACTATACTTTTATTTTATTCTTATTTATTCTTTGTCTTCTTTTTGTTTTATGACGTGGCAATCAGTGTGAAGGACCACTACTATTAAGTCACAGTACTGTGATGGTATTAATATGGTCATTGTCAATACTGATACATTGTGATAGCCCTTGTCTGCACTGTTAAACAGTTTTGTGTTGTCCGTTAAGAATTGTTATAGCAACAAAGACTAAAGACAGCCACTTAACTGTAGTATAATGAATCTGAATGTCCGGGATAGACGATCTGGTTTAGAGTACTCCAATATGTCTGTTAAGTCAAATCCTGATATGTTACTTTACATATTGCATGTCGCAGTATGTATTTCGACGATAGATACTTTGCTCTAAGCTTTATTTGGCTCCTTAAAGTTTTTTGCCGTGTGGGTTTGGTGGGAGCCGTATGTGGCTCAGTGTTTCAGGAACTGACATAACTATAATTAAATGACAGCACACGCCTGGAGGTGTGTCTTGTCCAGACTGAGCGCACCATCAATTATACCATAAATCTAATGGACAGTGCGTCACTAAAATGAGAATTAGTTTCAGTCTTAGTTGTTTTATTCTGCAATGTTTCTGCAGAGCAATTCTAAAAAAGACACATTTTTCTTTAAATCCAGGCAGCTCTTCTCACAAATCCCTCGTGTCAATATCAGGCATAAATGCTGTAAAATATATAACTGTTCATATCAGCAACTGATTAATGCCTGTCTTACAGCACCAACCATGAACTTTTGGATGTAGCCTAATTTTCCATCAAATGTCATCACTCTGTATCGTTCAAACTTGATACTTTCTCATAGAATCCGTGACCACAATATGTTTAAGTCTGTGAAACCTTCAGATGCATAGCTGTCACTCTAAAGATATAAAACACCTTCCCTGATTTAACACTGTCGAACAGTTGTTTCAGCCTCTTCTACTGGACAATGAGGTCTGAATAGCAACCTATTAAAATACATGTTTTTAATAGTGAGAGAGCTAGAGAGGCAAATAACACATGTCGACTGGCTGCTGCTTTTGATGGATTGCGGAAATTGGCATAGCCTGTTCAAAAGTTTTATAGGGAAGCATTTTCAAGATGCAAACTTCATAAAAACAAAATAGATCTTTCAACAGAGGTTACATCTTGGCCCTGATACCTGAAGACAGACGCTCAGTATGAGGAACCTACCAAGATTTATGCTGCCAGTATCTGAGTTTTTTCCCTTTTTATGTAACCATTATCAAAGAAGAAGAGTGAGAAAAAAAACATGCCCTCAGCTGTCAGGTTACGAGGCTTGCAAGCTTGGCAGCTGCTTCTCCACTCACATAACTTTGGAGCTGTCGCCGACCTGACTAAAGAGCATACCAATAGAGCTTACTCAGGAGTTGGAAGTGTGTCGATCACAGCAAGCCGTTGACAAACAAAATACGCAAATTCACAAAACTTTCAGAAAGTATAGGACTTAAATATGTTGGAAATATGATAACTCTTGGAATCACCACTTGTAGCTTGCAGCTGTTCAATGTATATTTATTCAACTTTTATACAACAAGATTAGTCCCATTGAGATTAAAACTCTCAGACCAAGTCAAGACAGCAGCAACAACAAAAAGCTGCAGACACAAACACACAAAGAACCAGAGTATAATTTAAATCACTAAAATAAACAATAAAAAGAGAAACAACCTCAGAGTCAGCTGTGCAACCCCCATAGTCTAAAAGCAACAATTTTCTGAAGAATCTTCTTCAAACCCCTTTTTCATTTAAGATGTATAAATGTTCAATGACAACAGTTCCTTGAGTTTCAAATAATTTTGCACTAAAGTCCAAGCTGAGGGTGCAGAAAACCTTACAGTCCTTTTACCAATTTCTATACAGGGAGCATAAAATAGTAAATACTGTTTGACACAATTCTGTGTGATTAAAAACACAAAGACTGTGCAGATGCATAATTTTTGTCTCAAAATATTACTTAATGAAACACCCACAAAAATGCTTTGTCAAAATACAGACTTGAATGTTTATTTCTCCTTTATTGAAATCCTGAAGCTTAAAAATAAGATACAGGCCAAAACATTGACTTTATTTAGATTATTTAAATGTTTCCACTGAGTAGACCGCTTTGGTTTCTTGTTTTTCAGTTACAGGTAATCATATCAAAGTATTGGATTTGTTCTGAGCTTGACCCAGAAGGGGACAGTGGGGTAAGTTGAGCCAAAGGGTAAGTTGAGCCACCCCCTGTTGCTTGGAAATGGTAAAAGAAATTGATCATGTGACCAAATATTTAGGAGATGGGCATCAATTCATGGAGTCAGTGAAGGTTAGAGGCACATAGGTGACGGGGTGAGACATTTATTTCCAAAAATAAGATTTTTCACTCTTGGAAGTGAATTTAGTCTGTCATAAGTTGGATTAGAATTGTTTTCAGACCAAAAAAGATCCCCACTAGACAACTTTCTTTTTAGCATGTTATATTATCAAGACAGTTATGTTTACACTCATTCTGTTGGTTTGCAGGGATGCAAAACATGTTGAAATATATGCAGATCCACTAGTTAGAGACAAAACTATGATTGCCTTGATGTAGTGATCAGAAATATGAAAAATAGCTCATCTTACCCCACTCTCCCTAATAGACTGATTCTGAACATACTGAACATGTCTGTAGTTTAATTTGACGTTTTACGTACATGAATCTTGTTCCAGTCATGTTTCATTGGAAAAAGAAGTCCAGCCCCTCACTATGGTTCCTAGATGGAACTTGTTTCCACCGACTCTGGCAGTGTAACACATTCTGCGCATGCGCATGTCTTCATGTGTACAGGGGTGTGCGGATAAATGTTTGGTGAAGTCGTCGCTTTATTTTGTCTAAACATATTGTAGTCAGACTTGTTGCTCGTTAAGAAAAATGCAGAAATTTGCGAACTCAAAACGAGCGTATTATCGTGATTTTGTAACAACATAACAAACTGTAGATAGCCAACCTTTGTACTGTTAGCATGGCGTTAGTTTCGCTCGCTAGCTCAACGACGTAGAGGATTGTTATTTCTTTAACCGGATATCTCCTCCTGCTCCCCCGATATTCAAGGATTTAGAGGATAATGTAGGAAAATAGCTGTTTAAATGTGTTTTTTTGTGTCCTGCTTTCGGTACATTTGGCTGTTCTCTTCTGGGTCGCTCGGAGTCAGCTTTAGTTCATACTTTAATAAGCATGTGAAAGCAGTCCTGTTGAAATAAAGGGTTAAAAATGGACAAAGACTTGTTAAGACAGTGTCTTACGCATCATGGACGGTCTCTGCTGGATAAATTGAAGTGTGAACAGACAGAAAACCCAGACTTTCAAGCTGTGGTGACTGATCTGAGCAAGGCCACGCGTGAAAGGTGAGCTGATGAAACACCCCACCTCCGCCGATTTGACTTGAGTCTGGAAAACTTCACTTCTAATCTGGAGTTAGTCCATCATTTGATAATCAGACCTCCAATTAAGATTAATTTAAGAGTGATATTCTCTGGTCAGGATATTGTCACTTCTGCATGATGGTATCCATCTCCCCAGTGCGCATCCCTCGTAAACTTTATTTCACATTGGTAAACTTTAGAGCCTCTGCTTATTGTCTTTCTTGCAGTGGTGGTGAAAAGTTGGATAATCCTCTTGTGGAGCAGTTCATTGCCAGGAAGGCAGACATCCTGTTCTGTCCAGCATGGAGGACCGCAGCTGCTCAGGAGGAGAAGCACGCCGAAGAGGAAGAGGAGGAAGCTGCGGGTGTGTTTTGGTTTGACTCAGAAATTTTGAACAACTGTTAAGTTGCCTCATGCTTTCTGTGGTAATATGTTCAACTGAGTCTGAATCAAGCACATATTTGGCTCTATCTCAGTCAGTTCACAGGATATTAGCACAACACACTGTTTAAAAAGTCAGGTATTGGACATGCCCTAACAGACCAAAATACAGTCATCAATTTTTAAGAAGGGGCTAAAGACTTAACTTTTTAACCAGGCTTTTCACTGATAGCCTTGTCTTATTTCTCTTATTGTAAATGTTCATTTTAATCAAAGTTCTTAATGTTTTTTTTTATGTAATTCATTAACTTTTATGTTTGTTCATTTTATTGTATTTTCTTGTTTTAGTCCATCAGGTTTTAGTCTTTCTTTTTACTCAAAGCTCAATATTATCATGCTCTAAGTTCATAACAGTCCTGTCACATAAAAAAATAACACTTTTGTACTGAACTTGCTTTCCACATGTGCTCTCTCCCAGAGCCCTACGCCATCATGCCACCTGTGGAGTTATTCATGGAGGTGTCTTTCGAGGAGAGGAGAACCATGCTTTACAGAGACCTGGAAAGAGGGGACATTGTGGTGGGAAGGATTAACAACATCAGAGAATACGGATTCTTTCTGACACTCCTCTGCACGGCTGGAGGACTGAAGAGAGACATAGAGGATTTGGAGTTGTCGGTAGGTCAAAATTCATGCAGAGTTCAGACCATGCAGTCAAATGTACTTAAGTTATGCCATGAACCTTGTAACAGATCTAACCACTTGGTTTAACATGATGTGTGCAGAAGCATTGAGGTTGTAAGTGGGCTGTTGCACCAACTTTGTGGTTCTGCAAAGTCTGGTAAACAGTGATGTGGCACATGATGTGCTGCCAAGTCATGTTCTTGACAATAATAGTTAACCAGTATAGATTTTTCAACTAAAGATGTTCTTAATGAGAGAGAGGGTTGGCTAAGGGCTGATACGTGATACCACTATCCCATTATTGTTTTTTGCACCAATGAAATACAACAAGTTAATGATAAAAAGTTGTTGTTCTGAGTGTCTGAATTGTTTTGCTCTGCACTTTTATTTTGATTGACACATACTTGATCAGATCCTGTGTTTCCTCAATCCTAAGGCACTTTGTCACGTCAAAGAAATTCCCTCCACTGGCAATCACGATGATCCTCTGTCATACTACCAGATCGGTGACTTCATCAGGGGTAAGTTTCCCGTAGCGAGCTTACATAACTTTTATTTCTGACGACTACAATTTGATTTATATGCAAAAGTCATGATTTGTGACAGTTAGTACAAAGTAATTACAGCTGTAGGTGTGTCTGGCATGTGCCTAGCTAAATAATTATGTGTAATTGTGTGTTTGTTGAGAGAGTTTGAGGAATTCTGCTCTATGGTAAACCCTGTTGAGGTCATACCCATTTCATGCTTGTTTTCTAAAAAGTTATTGAAGCTCTATCCTTGTCATATGCTTTTTGTCATTCTGTAGCTGCGGTGAAAGATATTGACCGCTACCAGGAGAAAATCACAGTCTCCCTCCACCAGGTGTCTCTTTCTTCCAACTTGGAGCACATCAAACTGGGTGTCATTCCCAGGGAAGAGCTTCCTATACACTACAGGTGAAAATGCAATTTAACAAATTATGACAATGATCTCTGAAAGACATGATTATAAAAGTTATAAAATGTCAAATATTGTAAAAAGTTTTAGAACTACTTGAAGAAGAAAAATCTGACTGCTCCAACTCGGCACCAATGAAATATTTGCGATTTATTTGAAATTCAGATATCAAACCAGTAAATCTCTTAAATCTACCAATGTTCACTCCAAAGTTTTGTAATACTTCAGACACTCTTTACTTTTATAGTTGTTTAGATTATTGTAATCCTCCTCCTCTATTTTTTTGATAGACAGGTAAGATTATTTCTCAACAACACATCATTGCTGTGAATACAGCTCTACTCACAGACCTGTATCTGTAATCACTCATCCACCAAAACAAGTTTGGTAGATTTCAGGTTTGTTTGAAACAGAAAAAAGGGAAAAAGACAGGCAATAGTGAGAAAAAAATAACAGAGACGTTTACAAAACTAAAGAAGAACATGCATGAAGTGAACACTTTACAAAACAAGGTACAGGATTTGATGATGTATAAGTACTGAGTTCTAGTCTGACACTCTGACCCTTCTCTTAAGTCGTAGTGTTCGTGCCGCCGCTGACTCCAGTGAGACATATGAGTGTATACTGCAGAGTTGCCACGGTTACCACAACCCCTCTGTTGTGGATTACCTGCTTGAGAAGGTGGGGATCAGTGACGAGCATCCACCATCAATGATGAGAGGACTGCAGAGGTAAGATAGACATGTTGGCTAGCTGACTCTTCTAATGAGCCTGACCCTTTTTTTGGGGGGGGTCTAGAATTTGAGAATTTTCTGGAGCACCAAATTGCTCATATGGTCATATGTAACATGTGTCGAGCACAGTAGCAGCATGTACCTGTTCCATACTTTGACTTCACGATCATTCAATCTAAGACCCAAGCAGAGATTACTGGTAGAGACCTGTTTCTTTTTGCTTTTTTGTCGCTAGTTTCGATGCACAAGTCGTCCTACAATAATGACAAATGAACCGTAACCCATTTAAGAACAGGATGCCTTAATGCCGGAAGGAGACGACCGCTCTACAAGTCACTGATGTGAGTCTTTGTCTCCACAGTAAACTGTTTCAAGAGGAGGATTTTGCTTCTGTAATCAGGAAGAAGCAGTCTGCATCGTGGGCCTTGAAGTGGTAACTCTAAACCTTTAAGTCTGAGTACAGAAATTACCCAGATAGACCAGTTCCATCATAGTAATAAAGTTATAGAACAAAGTGAACAACCCAACCCAAACATCATCTCCATTTCCCTTGTCTGTCTGTGCTCTCAGTGTCCGTGCAGGTGTGGATCACTTCAAACATGGCCGCCATGTGGAAGCCATGAATGAGTACAACAAAGCCTTGGATATCGACACTAATAATGTAGAAGCTCTGGTGGCACGTGGAGCTCTGTGAGTCAATCCGGAATTTGAATAATTATAATTATTCAATAATTATTGAATAATTATAATCAAACACACATGACAATGAAACATCCGTCGAAACTTGACACCACACCTGTCTCTGTTATTGTTTTTTACAATGGGAACATATCTTTGGCCTGCTGCATGTTCTGCATAAAACCACAAATGTAAAAATTTTTTCAGCCTTTGAAGCAAAAACTGAATGATTTACCCTCAGATTGATATTCTGGAAAACCGCAGTGACACTGCTCACTTGTTCTTAAAAGCATTTACTTTTCACTTATAAGCCAGGGCTGCAGCTAACAGCTAATTTCATCACTGATACTTTTGCTTTTTTTCACGATTTATTGATACTTTGTAAACTGATAAAATATTCAGATAGAAGTTAAGATTGAAAGCATGCAGATTGCCTAGCAGGTTAGCAGGCCCCCTATGGAGGCTAAAGTCCTCATTGTGGTTTCGAGTCCCTGCACCGACCATTTGCTGCATGTCATCCCCTCTCTCCCATATTTCCTGTCGCTTCACTGTTCTATCCATTAAAGGCACAAAACACCCCTAAAAATTGAGATTGGCGGTCTAATCATCCTGGCACTTTTATTTCGAACTTGCCTTCTGTGTTTCTATAAAAGCAAAGTACAGGTGCGTGTATTATTTATCACTTATGCACTACCATAGTGTGTGCTTTTGTTGTCAGTAAATAAAATGTCAATTAATAAAATACAAATATTCCTAAATTTATAGCTGTAATACATCATTGCCAAGTATTTCAAGTCAAAACATAATGTTGTAACAACAGTGTACCAATAAGTCCTGGCTCTGTACTTTGGAGACAGACAAGAGTTTCAGAGTTTTTTTCGCAGATGTAGCTGGCGTCTCCGGTATCTGCTTCGACATGCTGTGTATTTAGGTGGGAGGGGGTGGGTGAGAGTTTGTGAAGAGATGCACGGGTGGTTTCACGAATGAGCAGTCCCCAGGAACATTTCCCCAGACAAACGTTCCTTCTCCTCGGAATAACAGCATTTCAGTCACATTATTCCGATTTACGTGATATTCCAAGTTTAACAGTAGATTCTGTTTTTGTTGGCCAATTCCGTGATTCCGTGAACGAGGAAATCATAGGGCCCTAATTATTGTCCTAATAAATTGCAATAAATAAATTTGTAAATCCCAACACTTACGGAGCTGGAGCCGGCAAATTTGATATTTTTGTTTGAATTACTCAAAAAAATTGTTTATAGTAGTCATAAATTTATTTATCTCACCATTCATCATGATTTGTCATTTTAGTTCTAATATAAATGGGAATTTCCTTAGTGTCTTTATAAAAAGAGCAGCTTTAAGCAAATAGATTAATACCTGTTAAGTTTAATAGATAATAAGAATAGATGCTCTTGAGCCAAGCAACCGCCCCAGATATCAGCAGAAAAACAAGATTTTCTTTTCATGTGTCTTTATTTCAAAGTATTTCCTTCTATGGTTGTTCACAGGTATGCAAACAAAGGCAGCATTGTGAAAGCCATCACCGACTTTGAATTGGCCCTGGAGAGCTGCCCAGATCACCGCAATGCCAAGAAATACCTCTGCCAGACACTCGTGGAGAGAGGGAAACAGTAAGAGCTGCTGCCTTTGCTTTCATAAGAAGTTTAGATGTGTGGGATCTTTAAAACACAGTCTTGTTAGAGAAGTGGTTTTGACTTAAGTATGTTGGTGGTAAAAAGTGTGAAAATCTTACCAATACTGTGTTTGTTGTGTACGTAAATACTGCATCATATCAGAACATCACAAGATTGCCTGGGCTTAAACGAAAACAGACACAAATAAGATCACATAGACTGTGTGAATATTAAACTGTTCATTTTTTTAAACTTAATTTTTGCTCTTATACTTAAAGAGAGACCCAAAAGTTGGTAAACACCAATATAGTATCATAGTAAGTAAAGATAAACTAATAGTAGATGTCGAAGAAGCAATTTTGGAGGCAGACATGTTAGTAACTAAGATTTTGAACTTTTAATTTTTGGAAAAGAGTGGAAATCTAGAAAAATATGGACTTTTTTTTTTTCTTTTTTTTTTTAAGAAAATGGCCAGACATAAAATGTCTTTCAGCACATTATTTTATTTTTTTTATAATGAATAGATTTACTATTTGTCTTATTGTGTTTGTGAAAAGTAAGATGTTATTTTCCTCTGAAAACATTTACTCACTAAGAGCCTCTGAGCTCCTCAAATGTTTTTCTTTTGTGTGCTCTGTGCAAACAGACTATTATCTTGTGTGCACAATAAGAGTATCCAATAGGGACAAGTTATAATCTTGTCAGATCAAGTTCCTGACTTGTGTACGCTTAAAAATTATCGTGTGGAAACAAGTTATTATCTGCACAAGTTGTCTGGTCGTGTGCAGGAGTCAACGTCTCTTGCTCACAAGTTAGTATGTGCAATTTTGTTATCTTGTTAAAACAAGTTTTTATCTTGTGTGAGAGAGCTTAAATCTTATGTTAACAAGATAAGTATTTCCTGCATAAAAATGATTGCACTCAAGATAAAAAAGAACCTTAAAGGAAAATAAAACAATTTTCGTGCAGAAGTTGATTATTTGTACGCACAAAATATCCTTTTTAAACCTTGTTAATTCGGCATGTTTACTGTTTTTTTCAGCTGCAGCTACACGGATATGAAAATTTTGTTTTACTGCAACTAAGATTTGGTAGAGCCTGTGTTCCCATCATAAAAAAGGAGAGTCAGAGTAAAGAGTCGGTGACCTTTTAACCCAAAGATCTTATATATGTATCTAGGCTTGAAGAACAAGAGAAACTGGTAACAGCAGAGGGACTGTACAGAAGAGCGCTGTCTCTGGATGACCTAAACCCTGAGGCGAAGGAGGCCCTTCACAAGATCACAGACACCATACAGGTGAGCTGGCCACATCACATTTCCACAGGCATGAGGAAACTTATGTAGGCCAGCATGATTTGTATTTGAGATACAACTTTTCAAAAACAGGAAGAGCAAAGACAAGACTTAAAAAAAAAAAGATCACTTACACTGCTGCTTCAGGGAGTCTCAATCCTGTTGAAACTTTAACTACAATAGATATTAGGATAGTTAGATTTTTGATCAAAGAAAACTTAGATTTGACATCTTAGTCAACTGTCTGATGATATATATAGATATATATATATTTTTATATATATATTTCATCTGTTCTAAATCAGTTTAATGAAGCTGTTCTGGTACTGTGTATCCAGGAAAAAAATAAACTTAATTATTGACTTTGCTTAGAGCCAAGGTTAAACACAAGTGGATGCTTAGTTTTAATTTTCTACTGACGCACATTAAGGTTTCGTACTGCTGTCTTAACGTCGTCTGGAATGGAGATTTACTACCAGCAGGATTTTATTTTGGGTCATCATGCCAGGGAAAACATTTACGTAAAAATGGGTTTGCGGTTTTAGTCCTCTAGTTTATCTCTTTGGCTAAGTTATGGACACATGAGTTTTTGGCCATTCTTAATTAGGAAATCATTCAGAGTGTTTTTCACTTTTACAATTTAATTAGACTTAAAGAGTTCATGAGATTTCTGCCCCCGGTTATGAAGCACTAAAACTTCTGCTGATGTTGTCTGAAACGACTGAATGTAAAAAATAAGGACAGCCAAGTCAGTTTTTTTCTGCTGGTGTAAACAATGTTGAGGCATGTCTATAATCCATCAATGTTCAGCAGATTCACCACTTAATAGATTTAATAACCAAGAGGCTTAACAGTAAAGTAGGTCCTCAAATGTTATGATAATGTGTCATATGGGCAAGTACAAGTTCAGTTTGTCTGAATGGATTTAGACCAGGTCATGCTAGTACACTCGTCCAACAAGCAAAACTGGAAACTGACCCAGTTCTTTCTCCACACCCGTCTGATGATGCCAGCTACTGTCTGCTACTTGTGTTTATGTGAGAGAGGGAGAGAGACGGAGAGAGAGAGAGGGGAGAGAGCGAGCGAGAGAGAGAGAGAGAGAGAGAGAGAGATGAAACGCTGTCCATGGTGCTGAAAGCTGCCTGTGTTGAATGCGCAGAAATCCTCTTGTTTTTTAAGTTTCTGGTGTTTTATCATTGAGTATAATGAGCGTATTTATGTAAAGATGGATGGCACATCTCCACCTCTCGATGTTAGAAAGTGAAACCAAAACACCCCCTCAAAGACATAAACAAATCAGCTTGACAAGAACTAATTGTACGGACAGAAACCGTGTTGAGGGGGAACTTGTGTTTCTTTTTTTGTGTTTAAAACCATGTAGACCAAAAAAAACAAAGTAGACTATGACCAATACTGCAGCCAGTCAGTGTACATCTTTTGGCTTCACTTTGCTGAAACTGTCATGTCATCCATCTCTTTTGTCTACCTCTTGTTCTGTTTATTGATTTGACTTTTACACTTGACGTTGTTTGTAATACTGACGAAGTGTTTTGGTGTTTGCTGTGTGTCCTTGAACCCCGGGACTCTGCCCCCTGACCATCCAACTGCCACGGCTTTTCCATCTGCCTCGTGGGGGGGACGAAAAAAAAAATCTTAACTGGACAATGACGACAACCCCTCCGCCGGACACTGTTGTGCGCCGTGTGCCCGGTCCACGTACGGTAACGTTGAAACCTTCTCTGTCTTGATGGGGATCGAACACTCTTTCATTTCTCTGCACATCTTCGCCTCTACCTCTGTCCATCCATCTGCTTCAATACTAATCACCCAATAATGGATCTCACCACTTCTTCTGTGGTAAATAAATAACTCCTAATATTTCTTTGTCATGTCATGTATCTGTCAACATCCCTCTGACTCTTCCAACCTTACACCCTCCCTCTACCTTTCCATATTTTTAATTTACAACGTGAATTGCTGGAAAAATGAATGGGGCATCTGTTGCATGTCCTGGATGCCGCGCATGTGCTTGAATATGTCGCTGTGGGCATTTGCCTTCCGTTGTCGTGTCTTGCTTTGCCTCAACGGGCGACTGTAAAGAAATCAATTCGCCTTCGAGAAGAGGCGCTCGCTAAGGAGCAGGTGAAAGCTAAAAGCGGCCAGACCAGCGCTGAGAAATTGCGTAAGATCCTAAAAGAAGAGAAGAGGTGAGTTGGCACTGATCTTGTAAGGTACGGCAGGTAATTTTTCTGCTTGGAAGAAAATTCATGAATTAAATGCGTCATCTTCTAAAACGAAAAGATTCAAACAACATCTTTTTTTTTTACAGGATGAAGAAAAAACGAAAGAGATCGGCATCGTCTTCATCCTCATCTTCCAATACGTCCAGGAATTCCTCTTCTTCTTCGTCCTCTTCCGCATCTCGCAGGAAGTCCAAAAAGAAGAAAAAGAAGCGGAGGAGGTCCGAGCGGGGGAGTAAGCGCCATCGCCGGATCTCCTCGAGAGAGAGCAGAAGGAGCGATGAGGGTAAGAACGGGAAAAACAGGAAGGGGAAAGAGGAAGAGGAGGAAGTGGAGTGGTATCCCGCTCCTCCAAACACATCCGCCACCTTCCTGAACCAAAAGGGAGGCCCGAGGTTTGGGGATGGAGAAGAGGGGGAGGAAGAGGAGAAGGATGGCGAGGATAGAAGGATCTCTCAACTGTATTCTTTGTCGGCTGCATCAGACGACGAAGAGTCTGACTCCTCACGCAGGGAGAGGAAGAGGAAGGACAGAGAGGAGAGCAAGGCAGGAAGGAAGAAAAACAGTCAGAGCAAAAGCCCAGGAAGAGAGGAGAGGAGGAGCAGGAGTAGAGAGAGGAGGGATAGTTGGAAGGAGGATAACAGGAAAGACAGGAGAGACAGCAACCCCAAGAGGAGGAGTAGCTTAGAGGGGGACAGAAACAGAAAAGTGTCCTGCTCATCGGCTGACTCCGAGTACTCGCGGAGGTCCAGCGTCAAATCAGAATTTTTAGGCAACTCCGGCTCTGCTTCAAAACACTCAGAGAGCCAGAGGAGACGGGACTCATCCAGGAGAGACTCCCTCGATGGAGGACGATATGAGAATAGAGGAAAGGAGGGAGAAGAGATAAAAAGAGAGAGAGACAGCGTTAAAGGGAAGGCAGAGGTAGAGAGCAGCAGGTCAGTGGAGAGATTTGCCGTTAATCCCGCTAAAAAGAGCAGTTTGCCGGAAGGAAATCCCAAAAAAGACCTCCCCACCAACCTCCTGGACATTTTCAATCAGATCGCACAGTTTGAGAAGGAGAAAGCAGGGAAGCCAAAATAACCACAAAGCAAAAGTTCAGCATGAGACTCTGAAAGACAAGGACACGGATCACTCACTTCATGAAATCACCGCTCGAGCAAACGCCAGATGTGTTAATTGAATGTCCTGACTCGTTGAAATTCACTTTCTATATTAGGAGAAACGTCTCTGACTTTTTACTTTCTGTGTCTGAGTCTTTGTGTTAGATTTCAGGCCTGTGATCAGCCGCAGTGTCGGCTCTTTAAAACGAATGATTTGGTAACTTTATCTTAATCCAAGAGGAGTGTTTTTTTTCCTCGCTCTCTTAAATTGGAGATAACTGAAGAATTTGTTTTACGTTATATGGAATACATGATTTATGATGATGTGTGATTTTTAGTCATCCAGAGCATCAATTTTTGGCACAATTTGACCAGATTATTACACAGTCGAGTACATATAAAGTAAAACATTTGCTTCAGGCTTTAATCACTGTTCAATATTTCTTCTTCTGTTCAGTTTAAGTCAGTTTTTATGTCTGCTAAAGAAAGTTATGCCTTATGTTTACTGCCTCGTACCATTTTGTGCATTCTCACTGTGGCTTGTTGAACCCTTCTCCCGAACAACCTGACTGTTAGGTACTGCAGTACTTGTTTGAGCTGTACAAAGATGTTCTCGTTGTTTTCCAAAATACCTCCCTGCTCTAGTCAAACAAAAACATCCGAAACAATAAAGCATTTGCCATGAAAAAAATTACCTGTCATTGTCTCGTCACTGAAATCTTTGGGATTTAAAGCCCTTGATGAGTGATGTTTAACAAGAAATATTTAGTAAGACATCTTTAGTTGTGTCGCAGCAGCAGCATCGGCTAAGATGTGAAAATTATAAGTGATTAGAGATGCTCTGACTGCGACAATCAGCTGATTCTGGTACCAGCTGTTAAAAATACTCAACACTAATGTATTGAAGCAACACCAATTGATATTTTATGGGTTGTAATTCCTTATGTTTGATTTTCAAATAAGCTATGTCCTATTTTCTATAGATCTGTTAAAATCATTCATAGAAACGTGGCTGATTTGACTAATGGGAGCAAGTTGTAGCTATTTGCCAGGAGGCTAAAAACCCTCTCTAACTCCACTTCTGCCTGTTTCTTTGTCGATTGAGAGTTCGATTGTGTCGCTAATTTGGGCTTTGAAATGTTCCTCCAGTAACCAATAGGTGGCACTGCATCTACATCCAGATTTTTGATTTTGATATCACTTGATCTGCAAATGCTAATAAAATAATTCAATTTTCGATACACAATTGGATTGTTTTAGTTGTGTACAATATACATGAGCTTTCCATGCATTTTATTATGAGTGCCATTCAAATGTCAAAACCCTGATTTCATTTTTTTAAAACAATAATTACAGAATTTGTATTCTAGACAGAGGTTTGTTTTTGACACCACAACTTAGAAAGCACAAAGAGGGAAATATCAACCTTTTTTAAACCTTCATTAATATGCTCAATACCTTTACTTACTTTAAATCTCAAAAACGAGTCTTAAAGTAAGACAGCAGTTTGTGTTTTTAAATAGAAGAGGCTGTTACGACCTGAAATACCCCCTCAACACTAACTTGTTCCCTGATTTGAAATATGTTTACTGTAAACGTTTTTCTGCTTCTGCTAAATCAACAAAACCATTACTGAATTTATCCAAAACAAGCCATAAACATAAACAATAAAGTACCGTTTAATCACATGCATAATTCAAAAGTAATGTGTGATTGGGGATCTGCATCTCGGGTCAAATGGTCATTGTCCGTGTGAAGAAATCAAAGTCTCAACAGTTGCAAAGAGCTTGCACATACAAGGACACAGTCGGTGATGATGTAAATGCAACAGTGCAGGAAACCTCCAGTCCAACTTGGTGGTGGAAATATTCCGCTGGGGGGCTGTTTCAAGTGGCTTGCACAGTGTGAGCTACACACCTGTCTGAGAAATACCTCTGCATTTGGCAGACGCGTGCTACCCCTCCTGGCTCTGTAATATGTGTGGAAGGGGATTCATTTTCCAGCAGGATATTGATCCTGAACATGCATGGAAGCTACTGTATACCAGGCCTGTTTGAAGTCCAGGGATAAGCCCCCTACAGTTACCAGTCCCAAACTTTACTGGAAATAATCAAGGAAGTCAAAAAGGGGAAATGCAGTGCAACATCACAGGGCCCTGATGGAGGATGTCATTAGAGGCGTGATTCACCTAAATGACGGTATCCTATTTCTCTTGTGGTGTTCAGCAGAGTCAGAAGTTTGTGTTTTATTTGAGCCTTTTTGGAGAAATGCAACTTTAAGCTCTGCGTTCAACAAAATGATGAAATGTTTCGTTTTCTGCTGTTTCTACACTTAGAATGTCTTTTTCCTGAATAGGAGGTGTTCTTATTAAGTCCATCAGCACTTTAGTTTGAAGCTATGCTGAACTAAGGTGGTTAGACCACTTTCATGCTCCCTTAATGATCTTTTAGTCCTCTAACTTCAACTCTTGTTCGTCCATTTGTGGTGAATTTGAACATCCAATAGCTGTCAGTATCCCCCTAAGAGATACTAGATAGATTACCTTCAAATTTCCTCCAGATGTTCATGGCTCTCAGAAGAAACAACCTGTGGATTTTGCAAATGCTCTGACCTTTTTCTTTTTTCTTGTTAAACATTTGACCTAGAATTAGAGTAACATCTACATATTGGATCTGGACAATGTCTAATGCAAATATATGGCCTTCAGACTCAGACTGGTCACTGGTTTTTGAGGGTGATTTGTGTAAACTCCCTCAGCTTTAAATACATCACCAGATCAAAGTTTTACCTGCAGAAGTTTGCACTGCTTACAGTGAACGTACAGGAAGTACTGGTAGAGAAGTTGTCAAGCCTTGTAGTGCTTTGTTTGTATTTTATATGTATCATAAATTGCGGATTTTTTGACTTAAAAGAAGAAGATGGTATTTTGTAAGTAAAGAGGTACATTTGCCCAAAACATCAGAAATTAAATCATTTTCTTTTTACTCACTTTTTCATTTGAACTAAAACATGATCCATTTTGGCTAAACCTCCAAAATAAAGTCGTCTAATTGAAGTCAAAACCAAAAATCTTTTTCAAATAAACGCACAACTGATCATGTATCACAAAGTTTGTGATTAATCATGATGGAAATTTTTGTTTAGGGAGTGACCATCATTTTTTTTTCTTAAATAGTCTTTTTATATCCAAAGGTAGCAGACATGCAGACATGACTTTTAACTACTTTTAACTTGACCACTATTTTTGGACGCTCCACAGACGTGTTCCTCTGCTGATCTGCTGTTTGGGTGTTCAGATGAAATGATAGTACAGTAAAACTAAAAAGTGACATTTTAGCTGATAGTGGAGTTTAGTTTTCTGTCAGTCAGGTTATTGTGAAAATATTCATGTGTAGACAACATTTCCCTCACGTGAAGGCATGAACACATCTGTTCAGCTCATCAGTGGGCTTAGTCAATTAAACCAAAGTAGTATTATGGCTTATTGGTGCTTTAAGCTACTTGGTGTCACAGTTTTTATTAAATAACTGGACACACATACATACACACACACACACACACACACACACACACCAGTGGATATGCAACCAGCCGTGCATCGCCCCATGCTAAAGTAGCTTACTTCAGGCTTAGCTGCCATCCTCTCCCTTTCCTCCTCCATCATTACAGACTCCATCATCAGTGATGCAGCAGAAGGCTACACATCCCAGTCTATCTTGTTAGGGCAGATTAAGCACTAATATACAGGCAGGCAAAGGGAGCCTGTACACACACACACACACACACACAGACACACACACTCCTGATCCTGTCCTTTCTGTCTCAGACGTGTGACATCTTAATCTTCATAAATACTGACTCCAGGAGACCCTGCAGTCAGAGCGCTGGGCTCACTGGATGCTCACACTGTGGGTCATCATTAGACCCACAAAGAGGCAGCAGAGGAGTTTTTGGTCCTGAGCAAGACGCATCGCTGAGCACATGGATTACTCTGCTGCTATTATGCACATTCAGAATGACTTGTGTATGCATCGCTGTCGGCTTCTCCCCTCGATTTCAATTATATTTGTCAAACACTGGAGTCAAAAATAGGATACATGTGACTCACAAAAGAAACTGAGTCAAATATGACTCCAAATACTTTGAAATACTCCTTACCTACTTTGATTTCCCACAAATTCAGTTTTTAATGTGATGTTAGGCTAAAGTTTAGTCACAGGCCTTTCCAATATTTCTGATGAAATCACCAATTTCTCCAAAAAAAAAGGTCTTTCATTTTACAGCAGGAAAGTTGTCCTTGTACAAAATGCTCTATTTGATTTTATCAAATAAGCACTTACCTACTCTAAACACAAACCAGCAAGAACATTGTAGATTCACTACACTCTCCGGTATTTTACCATTCAAAGTTATTTACTTCAAAACAAACATTTATCTCTGATTTATACTCAATTGGTTATTTACGGTCAAATACATACAACACAAGGTCTTTCTGAGGCAGTTTAAATCTGAATTAATTGCTGCCTTACCAAACTGAGGACCCAGTTTTGAGTGCTCTCATTCAAAATAAACTTGTGTCCTATTCTGGGAAAAATTGTTCCCTCTTACTCATGATAGAGCACACTTCAGTGTACTTTAAGGTGGTTAAAAGAAATATTGAATAAAACAGAGGCAGCAAACAAAATCCAAACAAAATCTGTAGTTCTGCAGTTCTGCAGTTCTCCACTGGAGGGCAGTGGTACACTGTGTCTGTGTGTAACAGCTGGGGATTCAGGGGGGAAAATGAAACTAAGTTTTCCTATATTTTCCAATATTAAGTCTTTTTTGTTCTTACTGGCAGAGATACTGGGGTCAAGTCAATGTTGGGACAGGTAAACCATTACACAAACAAATGAATAAGAAGGATTACAGAAAACAAACCACGGTGCAACTAAAAACTATAAAACAAGAAGCACCATGTTGTTGTTCTGTTTTAGTCAACTTGTGCTCTTTAATATCTGCGTTTTGGCTGCAACAAAAACTCCAAAATAAAGAGAAATATTGTAAAGAGTCTAATCATAGAATAAATAAATGAACAATCAGAGTGCTGGGATGTACAGTATAACATGGTGCGACTATAAATTTGACAGGAAAAATATAAAAATACGTATTTTAATAAAATATTCAAAAGCCTACAATAACAATATAGAAAAACTAAAATAACAGTCGAGTATTTCTGGATATTAATTGTGTATTTTGTGATGTAAAGTTAATATTGAGGGAAAAAAGACAACATTTTCCAAAGCACAAAAAAGGTTCCTCTGTTCTCCTCAAAGACAAAGAAAAAAGGCAGAAACTCGAGGTGTTAAAGAGGTTTAAACCAGAGAGTGTTGAGTATGTTAGTTTAACAACCACCTCAGAGAAAAAGGTCAAACTCATCTGCATATACAGATGTTTATGGGAACATTTTGAAAGGACATATTGTAAAGACTAAAAAAGTAAACATGGCCTATACAGCAGTGCAAAATAAACGACAACAAAATATATAAAGATATTTAACCTCCCTTAAAAGCAACTGCATGCAAACATAAACATTACATTAAAAACTTAAGGGAACAGAACAAGCAACAAAAATACAGAAGAGGCGTTCACTCAAAGAAAGGTCGTGGAAAAGGCAGGAGGCCCCCAGTTCAGAAAAACAGATCAGAGTTGAAACCTTGAGTAAGCTTAAAGGTTATTTCGACTAAACAACTATGGAGTTTGTCTTCTTTTTCATCTCTTTATTTTTACTTCTTTAATATATTGAATACTTATCAAAAATGCCAGTTTTATCACCAATAGAGGGCTAAATCCCTGAGGTTGGACGCCATTATTACTGGCAGTCATATGTGTAAAAGTCAGTATACGACCCTAAAAGCCAAAATAATTCTCTCCTGATGACAAACTATCTTGTTTTTTTAGTCTGCTGCCTTTTTTTCCCACGTTAAGTCCGAGGAGAGAGTTCTTTGTGTGTGTTTACCAGCTTATCATCTTTAGATAACACACTCAGGGACACACACATAAACACTTATTTATGTAGACCGTATTTCAAGCACAGAGACACCTCGCCACTGTCCTTTCCTGCACACCTGGAGGACTTTATTTCTCTGGGAGGTTAAGTCCCGACCCTGCATTGTTGCAATAAGCTGAGAGAAGAAAAAGAAATGAAATAAAACGGATGACATAGGGGGAGTAAAAAAGGTGTGACTGCTGGAGGGAAAAGAAGACCTTTAGTCCTTGAAGGTTTGGGTCTCTGTGCTGGTTCGGGGGGTCAGAAGAAGCAGCAGCTGTCTTGCTTGACCGACTCTGATGAAGCTGCAGATTTTCACTTTCATGAATCATCCCGCTCCTTTCTCCTCCTTTTTCCCCCTCCTCCTCTGCTCCCACCTGGACTCCTTTTCACAAAGAGAGGGGGAATCCTCCTCTTAGGCCTCTTTCTTCAGCACTGAGGCAATCAGACTGTTGAACACGCAGACGGAGATGAGACATTTTAAATTAGTGTGAGGACAGAGGGGAGAGAGAGAGAGAAAGAGGGGGAAAATGACATTTTTCATTTTCTACAATGAAAGGTACTACATTGAATTCTCCGAGCATGACAATACGGAGGAGTAAGTAATGGAATAGGAGCAGACGTGGTGTCTGTGTGTTAGTGGATAATGAGGAATTTAAAGATGTACGCTCCTCTGCTGCCATTCAATCACACTCTCTCATCCCCCGTCACTGTCACCGGCCCTCGTCTCAGCGCTGTCACAATACTGCACCCAAAACTTCTTCTTCACACCGATCTTTAAAATGATCTCTGGAGTCATCCAGGAGGGGTTTTCAGGGGATTTAAGGGAACAGCTAATCCAGATCTGACCCTCAAGAGTACTACTAGTGCTCTGTGAGACAAATCTGCTGCAGTTAAGATAAACCAGAGAATAACTCATTACAATGTTAACATTTTATTGTTTTTGATAACATCGAGGCAGAACTGTGACAGCAAGTTCTGTAAGTGTTTTACTTTTATTAAATTATTTACGGCTTCAGATGACAGATAATGTCCAAGGAATGAAAAGTTTTAATTGAAATGATGTGGGGGGGAAAAAAAGAGGCAGCTAAAGAAAAGGTTCCTGAAAAAATCTTTAAAAATGTATCTTGATTTCAAAGATCTTAAATTTTTAGAGTTAGAAATTATATAAAAAGTGCATAAATAACATAAAAAGTTCCACCTTAGTATTTTTTCAGTACTTTTAGATGTGGTTGACTGAGTAACCACAAACACATCAATACACTGCAACAATGACTAAAACATATGACCATCTGATACTTAAGTACACATCTAATTTATGCTCCATATACTCTAACATGCATGATCATACTAATTTAGATATGAACAACCCCTGCAAACAGTCCTGTCTTATTTCGTTCCCAATTTAAAACTGCATTGTTGTTTTGAATTAAACTGGACTTACATTATATGAAAGAGTTTCCACATATACCACACGACAGAGTGTAATTGAAAAATGTGTGAAAAGTCGGTGTAAGTGCTTCATAATCCAGCATATACCCGTTTCTATTAATTCTGCTCCACTGTCTGACTCTTGTGTCTTTCTATTCGCTCTGTCAGGTTTGCAGGATACTTTGCTGTATATAGTCTGTAATTACATTCGGCCTTGACTATCATTCAGTGCGCTGACATCTTCTTCAGTATTTTAAAGGAAAATATGTAGGTTTATAAATACTCTGTAAAGGACTGAAAATTCAAGAATTACAGGACAAATTACATTCAGATACTTTTGATTTCACATTTGTTAAAGTGATCACATTAGGGTTTAAAATAGATGGATTTTTATTCCAGCATGTGGCTAAAACTCCAAAACAGCAGTTAGATAATTGAGAGAGAGAGTATTTTGGGGAATGATATTTTGAGTTTCAGTTTAAATCTGAGTTTCAGGCTGTTACTGGGTCTGAATTTTAACACAGAGGAGTGGACTCCACTGCTAGACTATTCACAAAGTACACCAAAATAGTCCAGTCTAACAGCTTCAATGAATTTTTACTTTATCAGCTCTTTTGAATTTACTTTAACTCTGAAAATTTTCTACATCAAATAAAATACCCCAGCTGAAAAGTTAAGCAGCTGAAGTTCAGTTTTCCTTGTTCTGTTTGGTGCAGAGGATTTAAAACAGAGTAAGTGTCACAAACTTCTTCAGATCTGAGCTAACATGAGTGCAGAAATTCACACAGTTTATGGAAACAAGTTTTGTATCATTATTAAGTTCTCTAATTTAATCATCACAGCAGCAACTAAACAACATATAACCATTATCAAGAAACCTCAACATCACTTTCACCAATGTCATTGTCATTAACATCATCTTCAGCAACAAACGACCAAGTGCTGAGTCCTGAGATTGAGACTTGGGTTTAAGAGCTTCTCAGAAATGTAGATCAAATGTGGTTGGGCAACCTGTTCCACCTCTGGGGGACCACAGAGGAGAAGAGTCTTTCTGAAGTCTGTCACAAGGGTCTTCAGCTTCTTCTTAAAGGTAGAAAGGGACTCAATGGATTGAATGGAGATTTGGTAATTCACAGAGTGACTTTAGGGCCCTGTTGTGATGGGAGCACTATAATTGGTGTAGTGGGCAAAAAATGAGTGTAGACCTGGTTTAGGATTTTGAGGGAGACCGGAGCCATTTTTGTTGCTGTTTTGCAAGCAAGCAGTATGGTTTTGAATTTGACGCAAGACACAACTGGGAGCAGCTTTAGGGAGAAATGAACAACAGAGTGACGTGTGCTTTTGATTAGTTGAAACCAGACCTGCAGCTTATTTCACAATCATCTGCAGAGGTAGGGACATTTGCCAGTAAGGAGTTGCTGTACCAGGAGCTGTGTTTCATACTGAATCTGAGAGGGTCTTATCCTCTTTCTGTTACAGAAGGCGATCAAAACCACATGAGCTTTAAAGTCAGCTAAGTGGGCATGAATTTGTTTGATCCAGGCTGGATCTTGATCTGTGCCTGGATTGAGGGCCTGACTGGGATGTCAAAAGGCTCAGTCTTTGTCAGGTTGAACTTATGGTGGAGTTCCTTCATCCATTTGAGGTAACAGAAAGGCATAATGGGATCTGAGCTGTGTGGTTTGGTGCAGATGACAGGAAGAGCAGGGAATCATCTGGATTGCAGTGTTGAGTATTGTTTTATTTTAATTTTTTAACCTTTATTTAACCAGGTAATAAGTGAGATTATGTCCAGTCGAAGGGGGCCGAGCATTGACCCTTGAGGCACCTCTGTTGATTTAACTAAAACAAAATAAACATCTTTTTTTTTTCAATTTTCTCTCTGCTTCTGATAACCAATAAACAAATCGATCATTTGATTAAACGCGTACTTATTTGCACAAGTGCCTGTGTTCAGTCCACTGGAGTTTGCTGAACACATGTAAAATACACACTCACACCTAAATTATTCCCTCTTAAAATATATGCTGCAGACATCAAATGCTGAAGCGTGTCAACACAATAACATGTCTCCGGGCTTTTAGTACAGTCCACACACTCTGCAATAATGATTAAGCATAGTATTTGTAAACTATAGCATATCATTTAGTGACATCATCACAAAGCCGCATAGTAATTTCAACTTCAGGCTAACCTGTCAGGCACAGGAGGGCCTGTTTTTTTCACCGGACAGGAATATTCTTTACGGTTACAACCATGAACGCTGTTGTGACATAATTGCTGCCCTGAGAGTGCATTAAGAGGAGAGTGAACCCTTATTTATGAGACTCTAAACACCCCCCAGAGGCCTGTTTGCCCCCCGGTGAGGCGTCATTAGAGAGCAGGAACACAGCGGGAGGCCCCAAGACAAAATGCAAACATTATCATTTCTTGTTCGTTATTCCTCGCAGCTTAATGGCATAATGTGTCTTTCTATTTCCCCTGCTGCATTTTCCTTGAGGCGTAAATGTTGTTTGCTATGTATGCACTGTTCTGAGTGCTTTTAATACAAAATGTGCAAAGCAAAACAAGCAATTTCACAGCACTGTTGTCATGGGGTGAATCCTCTCTTCTGCCTTTCCTTGCTGCAAGGCGGTTTCTAATTCCACACAGCATCAACATGTCACTCTAAAGTGTTCGATTGGATGCATTTCTTATTTTTATGTTTTTGATATTTTAATTCTGCCGATGAGTCCTTGTTTGGATGCTTTTTCTCCCACTTCATGTAATGTTCACTATGAATATGCAGGAGTTCAGGTCAGAAAGAGAGCCCTCTGACATCCTTCATCTCTGCGTGGACAGAAAAGGATGAATGTTCTGGAGGTGTTCAAGGCCAAAGCGAGCGAGGAAAGGAATCTGTTGATTTGCTATTGGAGCAGCGGTGGCAGAGAATCTGCAGCAGCCTGTGCAAAAAAAAAAAAAAGTCTTGCTCTAACCTATTTTTCCACTCTTTCTACACCTGGCCCGTGTTCCTTCCTCTTCCTCTCTCTGCTTTCTTCTCAAAATTTGGAAATTTCTCCTCCTTTCCCGTCCACACGTGCATAAACATTCTAGTCACCACTTATGAGTGATATTTCCCAAAGCCCTCAGCATTCGATTGTTACACCCTCAGCTGCTCTCAAGATGCAGGCACACGCACATTGTACACGCAAAGGAAATTTCCCTCCAACAACAAAATTACACTTGGACACAAAGCGAGCATGCACACTCTCCAGTGTACAAGTCTACTCTGGAAAACACACACACACACAAACACACACATGTGTATACAAATAGGTGTTCTCACAAAGCTTGCAAATTCCATTACACTTCAAAACTCAACCCTAAAAAAAGGATTTGGGTTAATTTAGTAAACACAGGGTCAGAGCTGCCACAAGAGCTGCCTGAGAGGAGTCGAGGTGTGTGTGCGTGAGCTTCACTTTGCATGCGTGTGTGTTTGCATGTGCACATATATGCGTGTGTGTATGTGTGAGGAAGAAACGCTGACTGTGTGAAGCAGAGAGTCCTGGCAGCAGCAGCAGCAGCAGTCTAAAGCCAGCCTCTCTGTGCAGAGATAGCGCTTCTTTCTCATTTGCTCTGGCCCTATTTTAATAATAGCTGTGCATAAGTAATTTCTAAAAGGCCAGGCAGGCACATGGGCGTGGGTGTAGGGGGGGCTAGAGGAGGGGGGGAAATTAAACTCATTTTATCTGTGAGCAGGTGGATTCCTATTTATCATTAACATGCATAGAATTTGCACAATGTTATTTCTTGCTGCTGCTACTGATGGAACGTCATCCAAATAATGTCGGAGGAGGGTCTGCCTTCTTTTTTTCCTCTCCTGCTTATGCTGGAGTGAAATTCATAGATAAAAGTACTAGGGTTTTTTTCTCGCAATTTTCTGCAAACGGAAACTAATTCTGGGAAGCTTCTTATTACAGTGCAGGCTCATTTGGTTTGCATTAAAAGGGGGACAGGAGCGACATTAGGATTTCTGCCAGATTTCCACGAGATGCTCCAACATTTGCTCTTATATCATTAGTAACGCCCCCCCCCCTCCCTCCTCCTCCTCTACTTACAGAAGCCCCCTTTTCCTCTTTTAACTTGCATTAAACAATCTCTGCTCATTATTGGCCCAATAATAAAACTGGAATATATTTGACTTCCTGATTTAGATCCTATCAAAATATTGGAATGTAAATGTGTAATTTTGGACGCATGATATGGAGGTTAATAATTGCTGGATTATCTCTGTGTTATTTTAACATAATTCAGCAGCAGGATTATTTGTCATTTTTTAAAATTAGGATTGTGCGTTTTAATTTGTTTTGGATTGTTAATCTTTTTTATTGCAGCATGATTTGAACTGTTCCTATTTTATCCAGCTGCGGCCTCAAAAACCCTCTAAAAACTGCTGTTCGTCGAGCTTCTCCACCGTTCTTCTGTTTTATTTTTATTATATATTCATTCAGCTGCAGCCAAAGGCTGTTTCTACATCTCAATTAGCTGATGAAGGTTTTGTCCTTGAAATGTAAGCAAACAGTGAAACAGAAAATCATCACACAAAAGCCAGTTTTAATTGCTTTTCATTTTTACATTTATGATCCATATATGTGAGTAAATGTCAGTATGTGAAACTCCCATGACGGTACATGAAAAAGCAACATTATGAAATTTTGGGTCTGTGTACAAATGTGTAGGAATGGGAATATTTGGCCATATCTAACAGTCAGATTAAAACACTCCCTTGCTCACCCCTCCTGTTGAAGCGATGGTGGCCTTCAAGGATAAGTTGGGATGCCTGATAAGTTTGATTCTTCATTTGCCAAAAGTGAAATTCTTTTGTGCACAACAGCTACTCCTCTCTTCTTTTTTTGTCTTCCAACTGGTGCATTTTGGGTGGCCACTCCTGAAGGCGTTTTCTGTTGTATAATACAGTAGAAACTTGATGATACGAGGAGATGGCCTCCCATGTAGATATAAAAGCTTAATGAATGATTTTGATACTAATACAAGCAAACTTTCAAATACTTTTATTGATCTGCTGAATGCCACTTAATACTGTACACTTCATTTTGAGGGTTAATAACAATGGACATCAAAAACTCCTTAAGGTTACAGCAACATTAAAAAATCCTTTTACTAAATTCAAATCTTAAGATATTGAGGACAAGGTAAAATAACAGGAAGGTGGAGAACATAAAAATTTTGGCACTTTTGACTAAATGTGTTCATTCTTGAGCTTCATTATGACAAACAAAACTGCTGTAGCGCTAATATTTCAAACATACCATCTTGATTGCTTGTCCTGAGTATCAGTGTTTTGTTGTCAGGCTGTTTGTGTTCAAATACAAGATCTAAGTTAGCAAATATTTTTCACTGCATGCTATTTTGTCCTCTTTGGCACACTGTAGTTAAGCCGTGCAGCGTCTCCCTGTTAATCATTATGGGAGCACTTTGAGTTTGAGCCACCTCCTAGGAGCTAAGCATGCAGGTGCAGTAAACCAGACTGCATCACAAGGAAGAACAAGGACTGTGCAAATCACCACAGACCTGCAGCCTAGATATAAGGGATGATTAGAATTATCTTAAAATAACTGCACACTATGTTCACACTGATGGTGTACCGTGCATGTATTCCTGCATGTTTTGATGTGTAACAAAACTGTATGTCACATGGTTTTCATTTTGATGTTGTCCCCCATCTCTAAATCAGGATTTCACACCCCTCTAGTGTCCAGTATTTGTTAAAATAATTGATGTAAAAGCCAAGATTATAAAGTACATTTAATTAGTTTCCATATCAAGAGACTGTTAAAAATTGCTTTTCCCAGCTGATATGCAAAATTGTATGATTTAAATCTTAAAAATAGTTTAATTATTATCACATTTTGACATCCAGTGATTTTAGGAAGAATGTTCTGAACGCTTAATTTGTTTTTCCGTAAATAACTATTTTACTTGGATGTCAGAGATCAAACTTTGATACTTTCATATCCCCACTGTCACATCTGCATCCCCATCCGTGTTGTTGTCATGTAGTGGAACAACATCACTTTACAGATGGTGGGGGGGGATCACTGGAGATCCGTCTACAGGCCGGATTAGGCTCGCCGTTCTGTGCGATGAAGAGCGAGATGATGATGTGTGTCTCTGTCTCCTTTTCTCCGCTCTGACAAATAACAGCATGGCAGCTCATGGCAGCCCCTCAGCTCCTGACAGCCGTCCAAGCAGCCAAGCAGGCAGGCAGTCAGCCATTGTTTTGTAATGTGTTTCACTCTGCCAGCGCTGATCCTTGCTAAGGTACTTACCACGCCATTGTTGTCTAAGTATGCTATTTTCTGGCTGGGCACCTCCACTATAGAATAGGCTGCTTTTTCCCCCCTCTTTCTTTATTCCTCTTTTTTTATCCAAAAGAGAGGTTTGTTACAGTCACCGTCATACTAATCCTGCTGTGTGATATGTATATGTGTCAACACAGAGAAAGAGAGAGGGAGAGAGGGGAGTCTTAACCCGGCAGACAAATGGTGTGAGTGGCAGAGAGGCAGATAGACAGACAAGTCCCATTCACTCCATACTGTCCCCCGTGACACCAAATTACTGTTTATCAAAATAAGACGAGCAGTATAATAAGGATACTTTAGGAGAGTGTCGTTCTAATGCGTCTTCAGTGTGTACAAGCCTTTAACATTTCCCCAGCAGTCAGATTAACAGAGCAGGTCAGAGGAGGACTCGGCTGTGGAAGTGACTGAATGTCAATTTATTACAGTCAGAAGTGGGATCATAAAGCTGCAACATTACAACTAGTTTGTATTAAAGAAGACAAATTAACTGTTCCCTTTGTTTGACTTTAAACTCGAAATACTGGAATCATTTCTGTTTCTTGATGAAAGTTGTACGAGTGAACTGATGCCACACTCGGCGAGCTAGTTCGCCTTGCACTTAGACTAGCTTAAAACTAAATTTTTTACGTTGCAACTAGTTTTTGAGTAAAATTAGATGAAATAACAGTGCTTCGATTTGATTTTGAAATAAACGTGATAGATGAGAATATCACTGTTAGGCTGCTACAGCTACAAGCTCCCACTGAGCATTTTATGGTCTAAAAGAGGTCCAACAGGCGTCTAAATGTAGCCTGGACGACTCGTCTAAAATCAGGCCACCGCAGGTCTAAAAGAGAAAGTTTTTTAGACGTCTAATGTCAGACCAAGTTTAGACTGAGTCTAAATCTGGGCTATATCTATACTACACTGATATTGCTCAACAGCTATCATAATTATTTTGGTCAAGTACTTGGAGATTAGTTATGCAACTCTACATCTAAATTCCGTCTAAAAATATACAGAATCCAGACAGTTGAAATTAGGTCTAAAAAAAACTAGATGTCTAATAGCCGTCTGTTGCTCAGTGGGCTAGTTACAGTAACTTAGCAACATTAATGAAAACAAGGGTTGACATCTAGCCTGACTGCTTCAAAAGAAGTGAGTTATCAGTATCTCTTCAGAGAAACACCATGCTTAACTTTTCATACTTAACCCCCTTACCCTTAAAAAAACACGAGTCATCATTTCTGTGTTTTTGTTTTGAACAGATTAAGCAAAGAAAATATAACACATAAAAAGTACAGTGTGATACTTAGTGATACTGGTAAGTAGGGCTGGGCGATAAAGGCAAAATAAGGATTGCCATTTTTTTTCCTTTTTCTTCTAAAAATAAACTTTTAATGACAAAGACATGTCTCCCAGGTCCCAGGTCAATATACTCCTCTACTCAGCCCTTCCATCAGTGAAGCCACAGTGACCTCCAAGGTCAGCTCCTACAGAGTCATAACCTTATGTTTTTGAAGGAGCTAATGCCAAGTCAAACCTGATGTTACTTTAGACATCAATAAATGAACCCAGTCCTTTTGTTCACAATGATGCATAAAATATATTACCCGAAGGTAAGGAACAAGTACTGGACCTTTAATCTATAACATCAATCTTCTTCTGGACATGAAGGTTACTTCACCAAAAGATTAGGTCACCTATCGCAACCCCAACTCAATGTATGAACATTTCTACCAGCTACTAAAACTCATGTGAGGTTGTCATTAGTGAATATGTCAGGTATTTACAGCTACTCTATTTAACTGTGATCCTAAAACTAAAGAAAGCCTGGATATACTGTAATTAAAGGGCATTAAATCAAAGATGATCTCTGTTTTTGTATTTTTTCACACTTAAAAAACACCCAAAAGTAAAAATATTCAAGATTTAAAACAGCTGTTTTACATGGAAGGAAAAAAAATCTCCCCTCAGTTAAATCAGAACTCCAGATTTTCAGAGATGACTCAAAGAGCATCTTCTCAGTGTTTGACTACATCTTAACCACAGCACTTTATTTTTGTTATGTGATGCATCCTTGCACAATCTCAACTTTAATTAATCACCGCTCTGAGACCTTTTATTTTCCCATTTCTGGTTAAGTGTGCATATTTCCCTCTCCTCATTCTGCCGCTGGAACAGAAAATCTGTGGGAGCATTAATAAGCCTAATATAGAAACATATTTGAACCCTGCTCCTCCACTAAGTAGATTATAAACATTTATTATAGCATGTTATCATAATATCCTGCACAGCATATTGCAAAACTTCAGTGGGCCAGTTTTTCTCCCGGTGCAGAGGAAGATCATAGTTAATTCAGCAGCGTTATGGTAATGTAGAGGTCCCTATCGGTGCCGGCATCACACATACTAACAAGCTTAGGATAAGCCCAGCCTGGAATGGTATGAGGTTTGAATTTCTGGAACCAGCGCGCTCTCTGCAGCCAAATCTCACTTCAGCAGAAACCAGTGGGGTGATTCCTGTGCTTAAAAAATTAGTGCTAGTGCATATATATTTTTTTGCAAGGAAAGGAGGTTTGGTACCTTGCGAGGAGAAAAAAATGCACTGTATGTAAAAAAAATATTTTAAGGATGGCAAAAATCGTCTTGAGAGGGCTAATCAGCTGGCAGCTCTGAAAAGCCTGTAATGTGCATTAAGAGATTTAGACAGAGCGCAGAGGTAAAGCCGCACAACATTGTTGACTCATTTAAAGATGCCAACATCTCAACTTTGTGCACTGTTAACAAATGCACTCATGTTAAGTTGGTGTACTCTGCACTTCTCCTGTCTCTGTAAATCGCAGTGTATCTGCCATAAGCATGTTAGGCCCCAGGGCTCATCAGCACCATGTGATACCAAAGGCAAGGCTGCCTCTGTGAGACAACATGCTAAATCCTGTTTGTGAGACTCGGCTGCTCTCAGCTCTTTGACTAATCTAACCACCCTCAACCTCGCTGCGCAGGAGAGGAGCGGCTGTCAATACGAGACCAGAGGAGAGAAGGGAGGGAGAAGGGGTGAGGATGGGCCTAATGGTGCGAATGAAAGTCAGATTTTTTTCCCATCAGGTTGAGAAAACATGATAGCTTGTAAGTAAAAGTGCAAAGTTAGTTCGTGCTTGCAATGCATAAGCGTTTGATGGGCAAATGGAGCTGGAAAACATAACATGATTTTGAAAAGTTCCCGTTTTTAACAGGATGGAAACTACGAACCTCTTTTTTACATTTTTCTACTTTCATTAAGAGGTAGTTGGCTTTTTAAGAGTTATTCATCCTGGTGTGGATGGTCTCCCAACTGTTTTGCAGCCAACTGACTAAATCACAAAAGTCCTCAACACTAACAAAATCAAGGAGAAAATTTATGAGATATTAAGATGTAACTATAAGAGAGTGGCCCTGAGCTGATTGTGCAGCCTCGCAAGTATTAACAGTAGTTTCACCTACAGTAGCATAAAGACAGCGACTGCTTTCAGCTCTTTTAAATACAAGTTTCTGAATGTTACAATCAAGCTTCTCAATACATCTTTAAAAGTTACTGCACTGACACGTACAGCTGATTCAGAGTATCACATCACCCAAAAACTCATGTCCACTAAAGCCTCAATGACTGGTATCTAGTGGTAATAATTTTAGGTTGGTGCAATTCATGAAATCCCAGTGAAAAGGCAACAATTATTACATTTTAGAAGCTAAAAAAGGTAGTTAGGAAAAAGTTTCCTAATCATCAACTTTTTCCTTTAAAAGCCATGCACTTGAAGTTTGGTCCCGTTTTCAAGTTCTAGATGGCTTATGACTGTGCCTCTTTTCACATTTAGAAGACTAATTTTAGCTTTTATTATTGTGTTTGTTAAATTTTATTTTCATTTGATAAACTAAACTGAACAGATATCATCATAAAAATATAAGACTATAGTATATTGTTACTGAAACTATGATCAAAGTCAAATGATGATAATATTCCAATCATAATTTCATCCATGAGTGTAGGGTTGTAAAGTCCTACTCGATTATCACCCAATTGGTCAATACATGCTGAGTTGACCAAAATTCTGATTGGTTGACTCGATTTTTTTCCACGTCAACTTACGATGTATAGTTAATTTCATCAAGAGGAACGTACCAAGTGCTAATGGGGGTGTTTTCAGAGCACCCCTGTTTCACAGGTAACAGCCTATCTCAGAACACCCCCCTTGTTTTCATCATTTTTGATTCGCCCAACCCACTGAAGCTTGGCTGGAGACAGGTAGATTGAAGAGCATCCATGTTAATCAATGTCCGGTGGTTTGCTGAAAATTTCGTTTTACTTTGAGCATTTCAACTTTCAAATGAGCCAAGCCATGTCCTCCCCCGCATACAATCAATTAGTCAATTTTTGGTCAAGAATTTTAGGGTTCTAGTCGACCGAGAATTTCTTTGGTTGATTACAGCCCTACATGAGTGAAATTATGACGGAATATACTGTCTGACTCCCTGAGAAAACTTAAAGACTAGACTTGTAATTGCTTTGTTTAAGCTACTCATGATGGACCCAAAAATGGCAGTGCAGCTAGATTAGAGTAGATCCAGATTCATCTGCAGTCCCAAGCACCATAACCTTAATACAAAGTTGCTCTGGCACAACACCAATGTCAAATCTATTCTGCTGTACAGTACAGAAAGCATGTAAATAGTCCAATCTGACATGAAAAGAGTGAAAACATCTCATGCGGATGCCCTTGACAAATCTGCCCCATCTCCTGGCCAAAAAAAATCCAATCTCCAAGTCTACAAGAAAACAGGTCACCAGAGCATGACCAAGGACATCACATACAAATGTTTGAGAAAGCGAGGCCATGTGCTGCAAATGGATCATGACAGGATCACTAGAGTCACCCTTGGATGGACAACATCAGGCGAAAGGAACTTGGGAGGACCAAGGTTAGACCTAGATTTAGTTTACAATCCGTTTAGTGACAAAAGCTGTTTTCGTGGTCGACCCACGTACCAAAGCAATTAACAATCAAGAGGCTGACTGGTTGTATTTTGAACAATGAAAACATTAGCAACTTTACAGCTCTGTGTGTTTCTTACATACAATATGACAGCTTTGTGTTTTTTTGATGTCCCTTCTTCTTCTATTTGAGGTCTTGTTTACTGGCTGGCTTCCAAGCAACACATTTATGATATTCAACTTCCAGGTCAGAGCCTGAAGTTCAAGCTATGGAGCATGCACAGAACGCATAAACCAGTTTCAGTCTGATAGACGTGTATACATGCAAGACAAAACTGCTCCCATTATCTAGGTATGATAGTCCAACTTTGATTTTGGTCTGTTTCTTTTAGCCTAGTAAGCCGTAATGAAAATAGCACTAAAACAAGGAGATCTGTGCAACCACATATATGTGGAAATACACCGAAATCCATACAGAGGAAAAGATTTAAAAACTGAAGAGAAAATTCCTGATCAAATGGTTTGAAAGTTTGTAACCTTGTCCCACAGACACTCGGGAATCTCTGCGGCACAGAAAATTCAATCTACCTAGAAATATATGACGATAATGGTATGTGATTTATTTATATTTCTTTAGAGTCTGAAGTCCTTGCAATACATTTTATAGTGAGATCGTTTCAAGGAGAAAGAAAGTTGTTTTTGTGTTTCTTCTAACAAAATATGTTTTACGGCGGCTCATGATGAAATATTTTACTTTGTTCAAACTTAAATAAAGGGATGTCCAATTTCGCAGCAAAACAGTGACCTGACATGACCTTGTATAACAAGCAGACAAAGTAAAGTGAGAAAAACTGGAGCCACAATGAAGTTTGTATGTTTCTGTTTCATGTCTGCATCTGTCTGTCTGTCTGTCTTTGTCTGTTCATCTGTCTGTCTGTCTTTTTATTCCCTCCAAATGATAATTCAGACCATCACAGATTTGGCACTTGTAGCAGGTCTTGTGGAAAAATTAATTAATGCAAACTCCAAGTGCTATCGAAATTATACATTTGGAGCGCGCACAGACACAGATACAGAGAGAGAAAGAGATGTGAGGACGCTCTGGTCTCATTAAGAGAGCAGGCAGAGTGGAATTAGTCTGAATATAATGACAGGCCACACTATCTCATGTAAAAACAGCCCTGTTTTCCTCTCTCATTCATTGGCACTAGTAATTAGTTTTGGCCCTAAAACTGTCACCCTTTACTCTAGAAAAGGCAGATGTGATTTGAGGTGCAATTTAATCTTGCTTTAATGAAGAACTAATGGACGCATTGCAAATTACTTTTCCTCCCTCCCTCTCCTCCTCTCTTTCTCTCTCTCATTCTCAGCCCCCTGTGTGATTGAACAGGGGCTCGGGTGGAAAAAAAAAAAATCTATTTCCTGCTTTTGAAAAGATCAAGAGTATCTTTGATAATGGGCGAGAGCGTCAGCGGCAGCTTCATCGCATCGAGCCAACAAGCTCTTTTTACCCGAATCACAATTCAGTGGAGAGGAGGCCACAATTAGTGACAAAGCAGAGAGAGCGCCGCGAGGGCCCCGGACGAGCAGAAAGCCTCTGGGTGCTCCAGGCTCCTTGTTAGAAAACGGGCCCTGGAGGTGTCATGCAGGAACAATGAAGCCTGATAAATTACCCTGCTTTAAAAAAAAAAAAAAAAAAGATGTACTACTAATTTTCAATTACACCTATAATGCATTCCCGATTGGAGAGAGAAATTGGAGGAGAACAAACAGTCATCGGCTCAATACACCTCTCTGTGTTTGTCACACAAGTAGCCTGGAGTGTATTAGCAATAAATGACATGGTGTTTAATGCAGGAGCTCACAGGTGAGGTAGAAAGAGAAAGACCGGATGGAAGGGAATAATGTGTCGTCATTATATTTCAGGATAATCAGCAGGGGGGAAAAAAGAAGAAAAACTACATTCTTATCTAATTTAGCCTCATTTTAGAAAATGGTGTTGTTGTTAGGAAAAGGAACATTTGTGAAGAGAGAGGGAGGAGTGTTTGGAGCATGTGTGTGTGTCTGTGTGTGCATGTGTGTGTGTGGGCCTGTCTGCTGCTCTCTAACCACTTAAGAGACACAGTGTTTCAAACTGGCATTGCTGACGGATGATGTTGTGGAGAATATATCAAGGCCAAATAACAGTCCTTGAAACGGGTGAAAAGAGGATGTGAGAAGTGTGGAGGGTCAGACATGTGGAACATGTGTATCCGTCCTTCTGTGTGTGTGAGTGTATGTGCATGTGTGTGTGTGTTTGACTACAGCAGCAGCAAGGCAGAAAGCCTAATGGGAGTGGGCTTAACTCTTGCACACAGCCTGGCTACATATCTGATTACTGGGACCAGTAATTTTCTTGCCTTAAATAAGGCAGAAATTGGATAGGATGAATGAAATTTGGCTGTCATATTGCAGTGATGGTGCAGCAGGGAGATTATGTGTTTCACATAATCGTTCATCATTTCTCAACCAGTGTTCAGGCTTAGCATAATGGAATTGGTAAACTGGTTTAAATCAGAACGTGAGAACAGACTCTCATGCAGACTGTGAGGGTCTGTGGTAATGTCTTCAGACCGAGCAGAGTATTTTCAGCACAGAGATACACACACACATATATATACACACACACACTGCAAACACCACAGGGGCATGCTGGCTTCATGTCTGCAGCATCACAAAGTCACAATACATCAAAAGATACCTCAAAATCTTGCTTTTATGTGGAAGGGTTTACTTTTGCTCCACAATAATTCAACTCTTTGTTTTTTTTAAGCTTCCAGGACCTTATTCCACATTTGATAGCATCGTATTTTTAATGTTTGTTTAAAAGGTGTAATATGGTACATTTGAACCGTTCCCTTTAAGATGCAAATCTAGTGTTATCTGATATAATAATAAGGCTCTCTAATGTGTGTGTTTTTGTTGCATGGTAGCATACGTCATTAATCAGTTAAATGATCCGGTCCTTCTTTATTGACCTGCATGAGCTGGAGTTTAACAAACAGTAAAACTTTATATTGTTTTTAGTCATTAGTACATTTTATGACCTGCTAACCCAGGACTGTAAATCGGCTTCATAGCTGACTCTGGCTCAGCAGCTGTGTTGTGCATGGTCCACATTAAATAATGTTATAAACGTATAACTTAAAAGAAATAAACTGTAATTTTAGTGTTTTTTGTTGGCTGTGATAAAGGAGGAGGCTGTTGGGTAAAGAAAAGTCTAAATGTCATAACTGCTACATTTTATGTATGTTAATTATGTTGGAAATGGCAACATAACACTGCAGAGGATGTTATCTGATAAATGGTTAATGCACTGTGAAGCCCTTTCTGCAGTCCTCAGCCCACTCAGTGCACTTCTCATTACATGTCATGCTCACATGTTCACACCACGTCATATACTGATGGCTGCTATATAAAGCACCCATTAGTATTAATAATACCATTTACGCATTTTGGCACATGCAGCCACTAGGGGCAGTCTGAGGTTGAAGGTCTTGCCCAAGAAAACTTCAGTATGTCGACAGCAGGACCTGCATCAGACTGCCAACCACCTGATAAAAAGACAATGAGTCACAGCCGCCACTTATTTACAGCAAATTATAACTTCTTACTCCAAAAGCAATAAGAATTGTGAGGAAAAAAACAGTAACACACAAGACAAACTATTTGATGGGAGGTCACTTAACGCTGTAAATTTTGATTTAAAAGTTGTACTGTGATGTAAATTACTTGAAAGTGTTTACCATGGATAAATAAAAAAATGTATTCTTTATTTTTTAACAATAAAGTTTCATTCTGCTGAAGTCATTTTAAGGTTAAAGACTCACCTGTCTACAGCTGACTTTTATTAAATTATTAAAAACATTGATTTTAATATCATTTTAATGATACAACACCACACTGTTGATTTAACCCTGTTATTTTAGTACCCTCTTATCAAAATCTATCCTTCTGCCTTTGCTGTTTTAATTTTCCTTGATTTTAATTACCTTTAATTGTGTTATTTTGTTGACTTTTCAATATGTTTTTTGTTTTCTACTATTTTAATTTTCTCGCTGTGGAAATGCACTTATAAATAAATGTACTTTGCCTAAAGCTTAATACAGCATCACAAAGTCCGTCATTTCATTTGGTCTATTTGTTTCTTTAACCTGAGTATTAAATCTGTTCAAACTGAGATGTTAAAAGCTTTGAGTCATTTGGTGGAGGGGCTACTTTGTGGTTCCCCTTTAGAAACGGCTTCCAGGTTTCCACATTTCATTGCAAGTAACACCTTTGATTTTATGACCAACATTTATGACTGTAACCTGACCCTCCTCAATTCATTCTGAAACTTTTGATCTGATTATTCCCCCTTATCGATTGCTTGTAATGATATAACCTCAGGCGCTGTTCTTCTTGATGCTGCACATGTACCCTGTTAAAGTGGGTTTACCTCTGAGTGTGTCTCCAGGTGGTGTGTCTCCCCTGCAGTCTCGTGGTGGAGCTACATCTGATGATAAATATCTGCTCAGCAGCAGTCTCAGTCCCCCAGGAGGTGAACTGTTGGCCACTAGGTGTCACAGTGGTTGTTTCCAAAAGAGGAGCCGGTATACGCTCTTAGTTTGTCTGACTGTCACCTTCAGAGTGGAGTCTGAAGTGTGTTTGTCAAAAAGCAGCTCAGTCTCAGGACTTGGAAAGTATGTCGAGCTTAAAAACCAGACAAATACTTACAATATCCTCAACTATTCATGGACTGCATTTTTGGTTCAATGGAAAGTTCAATTATGTTAGACTTTTAGTTCTTTTAGTCTTAAAATTGTGCCATTCAATGTGATATTTGGAGCATTTGGGTCCTTCAGATGGTTCCTTGTGTTTTAAAGATTTCACATTTTCCTCTCTGTGTGAAGAACCTCTCAAATTACATGAAATGATCAGGTCGATCTGGTCGGATGGAAAGTTCTTAAACTACCATTTTTCTATCAGTAATCTAGTTCAGATAACTCGTGATGATAGGAAGCACGACCGCCCACTTAAGAAAATGAAATGTGGATTGTGGGAGCAGTAAGATTAAGTGGTTCTTGTCATAATAGAGCAATAAAAATGAAAATATTGAACTTAAGAAAGATTGTTTTGCTCAGTGAATGAATAGTTTGCTGATTTATCCCTTATTTCTGATTAAAATGTGGAGATTTAGGTGGTTGTATCAGCAGGAATTTGAACTAATCTTGATAATGTGTCTGTTTCCATAACTCTAAAATGGGACTTCTACATCTTCTAAGAGAGAGGGTCCTTCTTTAATGAGCCCGCCATGTTCCTGCATGACAACCAAACATATAAGCCATAACAATTAGGTTTTATATATTCAGTGGAAGTATGTCTGAAAGGCCATTTTGATACAGATTATTCTGAAAGGGCTCTTGGGAGGGCATTTATTACATTTTGTTCACATCAGAGATCCAGATGTCACTTTTTGGGGTTTTATACCGCAGGGACATCCAGAAGGTACTTTTGCTCAGTGTGTTACTTTATAGATGTTTTTTATTTCACATATTTGCTGCATTAATGTATATGTGTGTCATTTTATGACAAAAGTGATTTAAAGCAATTGTGAGACAATTTGGATTGTGTTGATTTTGATTCTCCCTGTGAAAAAAGAGGTCCTCCCTCTTTTTTTACCTGTAAAAAGTTGTGCATTTTTTTCATTTACTTTTATCCTTATCAGTCAATGTTGATGCTTTAAAGTGTCTGTTTCATTGTCTTTGTCTGACACCTACCCCCCTTTTATAGGCCATATAAAGACATTTATAAATTGCTCTGCTTTTGACCAACTGAAATTGTTTATAGTGGCTTTAATGTTTAAACTACTTTAAATAGGCTACTATTGATTAAGTAGCAATTTATATGGGAGTGAAAATAGCCTTTAGCTGATGATTATTAAAGTAAACCATTTGAAGTGGAAGAGGTACAAAGCCGCATAAGATTCAACAACAATTAACACAAAGTGGTTTAGTGACCTGACACAATTTATACAATTAGGATCCAGTGTTGAAGCATTTAGGTAAACTTTAAAAGGTACCCACTTAAAAACCACCTAGCACCCATCCTATGTTTGAGATTGTGACCAAATCCACGTGGACCTTATCTTTTTTTTTTTCTTCTTCTGGACTGGTGTCCCAACATAAAAAAGCCACAACGGAGGTTAACAACACTGGTGCATCATCATTATTGTTCCATGGCAGCTCACTTCCATTGTGTTTTTTTTTTTTATTTGCATCCTTTTATTTTTGCAGTAGGTAACTTTTTTTTTCCATTGCCACTTTTTTTGGCATCATTAACTTCCATTGTGGCCTTTTTATCTATTTTATTTGCAGCAGGCTTTGGTTTCTTTCTTTCTTTTTTTTTTTTTTTTTTTTTTGCATCAGTAATTTCCATTGTGACTTCTTTTTTTATTGGCAGCAGTGGCGGTTCTCGGCCACCGTACTCTCCCTGCCACTTTGCTCTACTCTACAAACATTAAGAGGTAAACATGGGCTTTTTTCTCCACTGTTGGTGAACTGTATCATAAAAAGACATCTATTCAGAGAGTTAGATTTGAGGTAGTGTACTTCTTTTTTTGTGCATCACCACTTTTTTTTGCGTCATTAACTTATGTTGTGGGTCTTTTTTGTATTCTTTTTTTATTTGCAGCAGTGGCGTTCTTTCTTCTTTTTTGCTTTCTTTTCTGATTGCAGCAGTGGCGGTTCTCGGCCACCGTAGAGAGAAAACAAACTAACAAAAATAGGGTAGGCTCAGTGTTGTCTCAGGTACATACATTCTAACCCTGACAGTAAGTGATAAATGTAAACATGTGTCTGCTGCTGCCTAGTCTCCACTCACCAACCCGGGGATGCCTTTAGGAGCACCTGTCGTCCCGACATCCTTTGCGTGTCCAATATGGAGGAACTGGCGGTGGAGGTCCGTGGCTCCAACGGGGCTTATTACAAGGTAAATATCGGCTTTATAATCCACCATTTGACACAACCGCCAGTTACAGGTTGTAGCAAACAAGTTGACTCCTTTTGGATTTAGTTCACGGTTGCCTTGGCGATCCGGACCCTGTAACTGCCCGCTGTTAGCTCGTCATAGCACAGCTAGCCGAAATTAGCAGGCTGAGCTAACAGAGCTAGCGAGTGTCCTGCTGCCGTCTGTCACTTTTTATCGACGTTTATCGAGATGAAGACGGTATAAAAGTGTCAAAGGCTGTTATTCAACGTATTTTGTTGCTACTCCGTGCTAAAAGTTAGCAAACGTGCTGTATTCCTCGTTAACTGTTGACGCTCGGGTTAATGGTTGTTTGGCCTCATATTGGATGTTCAGACCTCATTAAGTCTGTGTTTTGTGTTCACTTATTGAAGGTGATTGAAACCCCTTAGATATTGATCACTCCGTATGTTAAAATACATAACTGATAGGAGGCATCGTGGCTGATTGTGACAGGGATTTTACACACACACACATTCACACACACATGTCTATTATTTGATCCTTCATCATGCCGGAGCTATTTTCTGTATGTGTTTGTGTGTGCCAGCTGTTCCTTGTCAATCCTGACCAGCTGGTATGTCAGAAGAGGGTCACTGATACCGTAGACTTAAAAAGCTATTTCTAGACCTGCTGCCTGTACAGTCCCGTCTCATTCCCTCTCACTTGTACCCTATGTTTCCTTCAATTACCTCCTTCATCTTCTTAGTTTTCCTACCCTCGCCTCTCACCCCACCTTGATTCATTAAGTGATCCTCCAGCAATGGCAAAACCTGCAGTAAACACATTACATTAACAGTGTATGTGTGTATTAAAGACGTCCCTGCTGCAAAATCATGAAAAATAATCAGTAACTAAAAGCACCACAATGAAAAATGCCCATTTTTATGATAATATGTCATCAAACAGTGTTTTATTATGGCTTTATACGCTGATCAGCCTCAACATTAAGAACACCTTGGCAATCAAATGCAAAAAAACACCTCCAAAAAGAAGAAAACTTTTGGGTTTTTTTTGTTTACATGATCCAACAAGACATAACTATCCCTAAAATTAATTGTTGAGGTTGCAATGTGTGTTGTCAACATACTCAAGTTCACTTTAGAAAAGGTGTTTCTAATATTTTGCTCCTGCGATGTTTGTTTGAAAATTGAAAAAAATATTCCAAACATTTTCATTGTAATGCAGTACACCATCAACACCATTACAACTTACGATCAGTTATCGCCTGTTTAAGATGTCAGATCTTCCTGAAAACTGAGCTGTTGTATTGAATGTTTACATGTGTTTATAATGATATGGCTAATGTGTGTTGCGCCATAGATAAACTATACCTCCACATAAAGATCCTTACACACCAGGACCGACGCAAATATCCGATGCGAAATTACGAAATATTGGGAGGAGAACTTTGACGTGCCTGACTATACACATCAAGCACAATGCGATTTTGGGACTTTCCGTGGGGGAAAAAAAAAAAACACGTCCCAGGTGGAAGCGAGAAGACTGACACAACAGCAGACTGACTGTTTTTTAGTTCTGATTAGACACTAGTGTTGAGATGTCTGTCTGTCATGATAGCATGTACTGAGTCGGGGCCAGTACCAGATAAACACATTAAACTATAATCCATAAACGTAAGATAATCAATGCCTATTGCAACTTAAACAATTGAATTAAAGAACAGTTATCATCTGTTAAGAATGTTGAATCTTCCTGAAAACTGAGCTGTTGTATTGGGTGTTTATAATGATATGGCTGGTCGATGTGTGTTGCCCCATAGATCAACTATACCTCCTCCATATTAGTCTGCCTTTGCTGCATATCATTGCTCTTCAAGACAGAACAAGCTTTCAGCTGTGATTACCGTTTTACTGTCTTTATCTTTGATGAGGAAAGGAATGTGCTTTTTAGTAAAGTGTCCTCAGTTAAAAATGGTTGCTTTTCAGGTTGGACGAAGATCAAAAGTTGTGGTTTATAAGAGGAGTCTTTTATGAAGCAGATTTTAATGAAAAGGCTCCAAGAAAAGGCAGAATTCAAGGTTTAAGACTGTGATAAAATAAGGAAGGTGCACTCAGTCAATTAATCAGTACAATTTTGTAGTGTTATCTTTGGAAGTGTAAAACATAAAAAGATTATTTTGTGTTTTCATGTACACAGTGCTTTTCCAGCTATTCCAAGATATGCATTACTGATGTAGCTTTAATAGTATGCAAAAATTTCCTAATGTCTGATGTTCCTTTATAGAGAATAAAAAGATGAGAAGGGTATGAAAATTCTTATAACTAGTGATTATCGCTGCCAGAAAGTTGTAAAGTTGGATTAAAGTGAAATGATACAGTACAGGCTCTGTGATGCAGTAAATTCTATCCCTTCCCAACCCTTGCTTCATTAGTCACTTTGCCAACTTCCCTGCTTGCCAGCTGCCCTGGTTGAGTTCTCGAGTTAGTTTGCCATGTAATTTACCGTCACTGTTATGTAATGAAACTGTCACCACACCTCCACCAAATGACAATGGCCTTTACAATACACTTTTCAAGCTACTGGATGCTTTTATCAATAAACTGTTTTATTATGTAGTGAAAAAAAGCAGTTTCAATCGCTTAAATGAACGTTATTGTGATGATGCACAGGCAGACACAGATAAAAAATATCGGTGAAATGCTTTTGACCATGTGCCCAGATTTTAAGAACTGACACCAAACTCAGCAGCACTTTCTAATTTTGTAACATTAGTCTCTACAATCTCTCCGAAGTCAGTGTAAGGTGCTTTAGCAGTGAAATACATAAACAAATAAAGCAAGATGCTACACCGCAAGTTGGCATTAATGTGCACATAACATCACAGTTTTGCCCCTAAATATCTTTCAATCAAATAAAAGGTGGAACTTTAGTTTAAAACACAAAAGTTATCTTCTCGTGAATGCTTTCTTCTCCGTAGTCTGTGTCTCCAACAGGCAGTACTGTCAGTCAGCTGTCGTGCTCTAACATGCTGCACCTGTCTGTTTGTCTGTCTGATCTGTAGGGCTTTGTCAAAGATATCCACGATGACTCTCTCACCATTGCCTTTGAGAACAAGTGAGTGTTTTCGCTCCTGTATTCCAGCTGCTTTGGTAATACATGTGAAATTTTTAAGAGGGATGTAGGAGGACTAACATGTTTTAGTGAGCTAAGTCATTCTAATCTTATTTATAGTTGGCAGCCAGAGCGCCAGGTGCCCTTTAACGATGTCAGGTTGCCGCCGCCTGCTGATGGCAAGAAGGACATCGGAGAGGGCGAGGAGGTGGAGGTGAGAACGACACACATCAAGTCCTCATATTTTTACCTGTCAAGCTGGGCCTCACTGTCTTGGTTTCAATTCTCCTGTCAGATCCTGTCTCGGGCTAATGAACAGGAGCCTTGTGGTTGGTGGCTGGCTAAAGTCCGTATGATGAAGGGAGATGTGAGTATCGCCAGCAGAAAGTTAGAGGAAGAAGTTCCACCCCGTTTTACACTATCATCTAGTAAATAATTGTTGGTTTGGTGGGGCCTGTTTGACAGACTTTGCATTATGTCTTTTCAGTTCTATGTGATCGAGTATGCAGCTTGTGACGCAACTTACAACGAGATTGTGACCTTTGAGCGTCTGCGTCCAGTCAACACCAACAAGGCCATCACCAAGAACTCCTTTCACAAGTGCACTGTCCCTGTTCCTCAGGATCTGCAAGAAGCGTACGTAGATCAGCTATAACACCAAAAGTCTGGAGTTCATATATTTGTTCTGCTTATTTCGCCTGAGTTTTTTGCTTTATGTTTGATGGAAAATTAAGTTTTTGATCATAAACTTTTCTGTTGTTGCAGATGCCAGAATGACAGTGCCCATAAGGACTTTAAGAAAGCTGTGGGAGCCTTCCGCATCTCATACTGTCCAGAGACTAGCCAACTTGTGGTTGTGGTAATTGTCCTGCTATTTCTCTGTTGGACAGCTTAATATTCATTATATCATGAACACAACCACAGGATGTTATTTTACTATGTCTTGTATATCATGTCTATAAAGTGCATGACTCAGCCATGCCTCTTTGTGTGTCATCAACAAGGTAAATGGGTCATTTTAATTCTTTTTTATTTCTTCTGTTTGTTTGTTTGTTTGTGTGCGTGTGTAGTCCATGAATGAGGCAACAGTAAAGCGCGTGTCTTTGCTGAGTGACATGCACCTGCGCAGCATCAGGACTAAGCTGCTGCTTATGTCACGCAACCATGAGGCAACAAAACACCTGGAGGTTAGTGGGTGACAACAGCACCATAGGTCAGCGTCTGTGGTGATCTAAAGTAAAGGGGAGGATATCTTCGCCTGATCACTTTAGTTTGTTTAGACAGCATCTTGGCAGTGAGGGCAGTTAGGAATTGAGGATTTGAAATCACTTTCAAATCCTTAATTACTGCAACAGTAATCCATCACAGATAAAACCTGTATTGTTCTCAAATATTAAATAGTATTTAGGCGAATTAAAACCAAAAGTCTAACTCTCTACTTACCTTAAAACAAATGAAACTTGTGTTTTTGCAGAATTCCAGGCAGCTGGTGTTGTCCTTTCAGGAGGAATTCACAGTTAGAACAGACCTGATGGGCCTTGCCATTGGCAGCCATGGAAGCAACATTCAGCAAGCACGTAAAGTCCCAGGTGTCACTGCTATCGAGCTGGAAGAGGAGACTGGCACTTTCAGGATTTATGGGGAGGTAGGGTTTTATATGGAAGAACTGCCAAAGTCAAGCATGAGAACAAGGTTTTGATAGATGTTTTCACACAGTAAGAGAAAATGAAAATATTTGAACTAAGGTGGTCATATTGGTGACTGCAGTTGGGCTGATTGTAATATGAACTCTGTGTTGTCTTTCAGTCAGCTGAGGCAGTTAAGAAGGCCAGGAACTATTTGGAGTTTCTGGAGGACTCAGTCCAGGTGCCCAGAAACCTTGTTGGTATGTAGAAACTAACTAATCATGCTGCAGCGACAGTGAACTTTGGAAAGTGTGCTCTGAAGTTGCGTGGCACTGATTCCCTAAAAAATGACATTACACAAAAATAATTTAAAGAACATTTTTGGTTTGGTTAGAAACGTTAAATCATGCTCTTGAATAAAAAAATCTTAGTGTCATGACATCAACTCTATTATTCTTCAATAATACGATTTTTTAAAAGACAAGGCAACTACAAGTGGAAATTTTGCACTCATGTCATATGTTTAAGAATCGTTCTTGTGGCACTGTATTTTGGGGTCGCCAGAAAATCCCCAAAGCCTCTATTAACTAGAATTATCACAGGGCAACTGAAAATGAAATGTATGTTGGCAATCATGAAACCGCTCCACAGACAGGTTTTTGTGAAGTAGAACAAGATGTTATTATATTAATAAAAGGAAATATGTTGAAAGGAAATGCAACTTGTCAAAATACAGAACTCCTCTTTAATCAATCACTCACACTGTGATAGAATTTAAATTTGAATTTATGAAAGGATAGCCCCTCGAGATGCAGCACCTCATTCTCAAGGGGGTCCCTAAACAAACATACATAGAACTCTAGAGGAAGAGACCTTTTAGTTTCACAAAGAACTTTTTCTTAACTCAGACTTGTGTGTTACAGTGATTTATCCCGTTTTCTCTGCTTTGTTTGTCTAGGCAAAGTGATCGGTAAGAACGGAAAGGTCATCCAGGAGATTGTGGACAAGTCTGGTGTGGTGAGAGTCAGGATAGAAGGAGACAACGACAACAAACAGCCCAGACAGGAAGTAAGCCTACTACAGTCAACTCTTGACTGCAGCTGATAAAGCTGGAGTACTGATAAGTCCATGCAGTATTCAGTTTTCTCTTTTTTTTACTTCACAGTTTGTTCTTTCCACTTTGGTGCACTAACATCCATGTTGTGTTTTTGCGATTTGTTGACAAAGGGAATGGTCCCCTTCACTTTTGTCGGTACTAAGGAGAGTATCGGCAACGTCCAGGTCTTGCTGGAGTACCACATCTCTTACCTCAATGTAAGGAGATCTACAGTATGTACACATGTGTGTCTGTCTGTGTGCATATGTGTGCCGAAATGGGATGAAGAGTTTGTTTTTGATGCACGCTTGTGTTTGATTTGCCGGTTCTTCGCGAAAGCTGCAGTTTACGGATGTCTGCTTCTTAACCCATTTTTATTGATTATTGATTTGACACTATAAAATGGCAAAATGGACATGTTACAATAACAACACTCAATGTATAAATAAAATAGCGTAGCTCTGATTTTGTGATATACTGGTTTGATAAAGGGGGATATTTGTAAAATCACAGATATAGAGTCAGATATATGGGACTTGCATACAGCACACACATTTACTATGCATTTGTAGTCAGTACATATCAGGTTTTGCAGTTGTACTTAAAGTGGATTCACCTGAAATCATTGCTGGTATTTTCATGTATGCAAAATTAATTGATGAAATCTTATCAAACTTGTTGCAGTTTGAGAAAACAAATCATCAGTTTAAGTTACCCATGTTTGAGGCTGCCAGCTCTGTCTGGTATAAATAGAAATGGATGTGTGAGAGGACCGTCCTCCACACAGGCAGAGAGGAACAGGAAGCACATGGAGCTGAGGTTGATTTTGTTTTTGTATTTTCACTCCCAGTCGTGTGTTGATAATGGCATGAAAAGTGATTAAGCTTCTGATAATGATCATAGATAATCTCTTTGCTGTTCTGCTGTGTGGAGTTCACTGTCTATGTTCTGCATGTATGCGTGCCCAGTCTGTGGTGTGTTATTTGCATGTTTGGTGCTGCCCTGGTGCTCTGTTGTGTTTGTGTGTGTGTGGTTTGTTTGTTTGTTTTGCACCATGTGTGTATGTGTAGAAGATGGAGGAGCTTCTTGCAAAGGGCCAGCAGCTAGAGGAGGAGCTGAGGAAAGGGCTGAGGCAGTTTGTGGATAATTCACAGGGATGCAGCCTAGAAAGAGTCAGACAAAGCAACACAAGGCACACTGGATGTGATGTGTGTATGATGATAATGCATGTGTACCTGATGATGGAAAAAAAGACTTTTTGGAACTCAAAATCTTGCAATATTTGATTGTTTCTTGCTTTTCTTTTGGTATAATATTCGCCATTCTTTAACTTTTGCTGTCCATTTTTTACCTTTTCTTCTCTAGGAGGTTGAGCAGCTTCGTCTGGAGAGGATGCAGATTGATGAACAGTTGCGTCAGATCACCCTGGGTCACCGACCAGCTGACAGAGAGAGAGGGGACAGAGGAGGATATAATGCAGATGGTAATGCCAATGCCTCCTCGTCCTCTTCACATGGCAGCCGCTCCTACAATGGAAGAGGGCGCGGGCGCAGAGGACACAGCTACAGCACTGGATATGGTATACATTACAAATGAGAACTCAACCTGCAAAAAGAGAAAAGAATTGACTAAAAAATGTCCATCTATGTCTCTTCATTTGCATCTGCCCTCGCATTCATGTCTAACTGTCCTCTTGTGTGTTTGTTTGGATCTTCCAGGCACCAACTCAGAGCAGTCCAACGCATCTGAAACCGACTCGGAGCGCAGGGAGGAGCTGAGTGACTGGTCCCTTGCTGGAGAGGACCAGGACAGGTGAGTTGTGATATTTATCCTGTGGATCCTTAAAATGTCTTCAATTAGATAAATAAAATCTAAGGTCTTAAAATATCCTCAGAAGTCTTACTTGAATTTCACAATTTTGGATTTCTGTGATAGTGTCTTAGCGTGCCCAAAGTTTTGCCCTGCAACCATTAACTGTAAAATAAATTGATGTAGTGTTCAAATGTGTTAATTTTTAGTACAAGTGTGAAATAGTTACAAATATCAGTCATATATTTATTCTTTCTGGGTCTGTGAAGGGCTACTCCTTTAAGACTGAGATTATGAAGTCATTAATTTTCTGGTCATCTTGCAGAGAGAGGGAGAGAGGTCCTCGGCCACAAAGAGGCAGGAGGCTCGGACCTGGCAGAGGCCGAGGAGGACCCGGACGGGGGAGAGGAGGGAGAGGGGGCTACAACAACAGCCATGGTAAAGTCGCTTCTCAGACCACAGTGAAGCAAACTCTGCATTTAATACAAAGTCAATGTACAAACTGACAAACTGAACAACTTCATTAATCAAGTATTTTCTGTGAATGTGACTTTACCTTTTAGCAGGACATCGGGAGTATGAGGATCACCACACCTATGGAGCCCAAGAGACGAACACAGAGACTGACCAGACAGCCGATACAGATGCCAGTGAGTCCAACTTGCCTGCAAACCGCCGCAGAAGATCTCGCCGACGCAGGACGGATGAGGATGCAACTTTGATGGACGGCATGAGCGAGTCAGACAACGCTTCAGTGAGCGAAAATGGAATAGGTAGGAAATTCAAAAATCCTGTCATTTAACTTTATCCTACCAAAAACTGAGCTTTAGGACACATTTTCAGGAGTGTAACAGAGCTTATGTTGTTATTTCATAAAGTGCACCAGTGCAGCACTTCCCGTTTGAGGTCCATAAGGAATCCTCAAATTTTCAGATAAGTTTTCTAGTTTTAAAGTAACTGAAACCCCAAATCCCTCTCTTTGTAATGATTGAAAACCTTAGATGACCCCGAGGCAAAACCTCAGCGTCGTAACCGTAGTCGTCGCCGCCGCATCCGCCTGCCAGAGGAAAGGCAGCCAGGTAACCATGCCGGTCAGTGCTCGTAACAGCTTGGCTGAAACGTTCCTCATCAGGCGTGGTGTTTGTTTGTGTGCCTCACTAAACCAATTAAGAAAACTGAGCTTTAAGTGTGTGGTCATTGAACAATGCTTGCCTCCAAGGCTAAATTATGATGATGACTGTCCACATAGGTTTGCCGTGTGAATGAGAGTTAGCTCCTGTTTTCTTGTTTTATTTCACAGGCTCGTTTACTAACAACAGAGATGCAGCATTTGTTGTTTTCCAGGCTGCTTCACCAACAGCAGTCTTGTTTTTATTTTTGGTGCACCACAGTGAACCTGACCCCTAACTTTTCTGTGATTGTTACGTTGGATGTCAAGCGCATAAGGCCTTCAGTTTGGCTTCATAAACAAGCTGTTGTTCCTTGTCTAAAAGTTGAAGCCTCTTTTCAGACTGCCAGACTGGATCTACTCAGTGTCTTCAGTTTTTGTAAAAAATTTCAACACTGTTGAAACTCAAACAGACTCTGTTATTTGAAGAAAACAGGCATTGTCATCATCAGCGGTTTTTCTATTCTTCTGTTGTCTGTGCAGTGACAGTGGCTGACTACATATCCAGGGCTGAATCTCAGAGCAGACAGCTCAACTCCAAGGACACCAAGAAAAACAAGGATGTGGTTAGTACTGAACTGTCTAGCGTTAACAAATTGCTGGCAGACAGCTGTTTAACTTTAAAGAGTGTGTCCGTGAAAGTTTTTAGGTTCTGTCTGCTCTGACTGTCTATGCTTGACTGTCACCTGCTCAAACTGAAGAGTGGCTGAAAAATGTGGAATGTGCAAAAAAACTGCAGTTCTACAAATGACCACTTGAGACAGCTTCCAGTGAGGGTTGAATCTCATAGACGTTCTTCTTAACTATAGAGAAGAAAATCACATTTTTAGAGGGTGGGAATCACCAGGTGACTCATGATACAACATGATATCCAATACTTGGCACAAGATAACGATAACATGATAAGACAGCGATACTGGGATAATCAAATGAAGATGAAACTCGAAGTCTGATAATAGATACAAAATGCCCCTAATGTTCATGTTTTTGGTCTTTAAATTAAACTTACAGAATTATAAATCTGTGAAACGTGTAAAGTAAAAAAAAAAAAAAAAAAGGACATTTCTGTAAAACTGTCAAAAAAACTACACACTTAAGTGCTTTCCCAGAAATATTCCCATTGAATATAAAATCGCCTGTTTCCATTTGCCTTTAAACTCTAAAACCAAAACTTGTTTTCATGCTAGCCTACATTACTGTACCTGTTTAAAAGTACAAGGTCTTTTTCAGTTAGCTTCTATACCTCTGTAGTCTTCAGTAAAACTTCTTCCATTTGTGCACCTGCATCAAGCTAGGTAGTACGTCTCAGATAAAAAAAAAACACTGGATCAGTTTATTCTTTCTCTTTTCTTTGTAGCTTTGGAAGTTAGCAGTGAATGTCTTTGCTCATTTTTTCTTCTGCTACCCAACATCCCTCTCTCTACCATATGATTGAAATCTTTGTCAGTCAAGTAACTGCCATTCATGCTCCTCCTTATGATTATCACCACCGTCTAGAGTCACAAAGTGGTAACAGGGGGCGTCAACTCAGCGGGGAAACCTATCCAGATCACTTTCTTTTTTTTTTTTCAGTTCAATGTTGACACTCAGCCCCAGCATGTCCAAAACTACAGGCCAGGACAACAATACTGAAGTTTTTACCAGCAGATAGGAAAAACGTTTTGATTTTAACAACTTGTCACTGGCTGATGACTGTACAGGACATAATACCTTTTAGTTTGTGTAGCCTGCTTTAACGCAAGTAGGGCACAAAGTGACGGGTCATTTTTAGGATGCTGGTAGCTCTCTGAAATTTCTCTGAAAACTCTCAAATTTCTAGGTGATGTTGCTTCCTTTTGGAGATGTTTTTATTCAAATATTAGACATATAGCTTGTTGTGTTGGTGGTTATCGAAGAGGTGTGACACCATGCATGCCATACCTGGTTTGATAGTGCAGTCAAAGTTCCCATTTGTTTGCAGTCATCAGTGTGTAGGAGTCAGACTTAATGCTGGTTTTCCACACAAATGTGATGATGAGGAATTTTGTCTTTTACACATCTCTTTTTTTCCAGCACTTAGTCTCAGATACAGACAAGTTAGTTCACTGCATATTACAAGCTCTCTGCTTTTGTAGTTGGAAAAATACTCAGCAACAAGTCTGCAAATGACAGTCGTCAAATACAGTCAGATTATGAGGGAAAAATGTACTTTATCAGTTACCTAATGAATCGGTCAATGATGCCACTTAATCTGTTTTGTTGATTGTTTTTTCTTGGCATTGGAATATTTAAAACCTTTGTCTTCCTCAGGGTCAGGTTGACACCATCGCTGAGAACAGCCCGCCATCTGCCCCGCCCACCACCAATGGATCCGGCAGCAACGCTGGTGTCAAAGAGGGCAGCAGTGCCACCAGAGCTACCAAGTCTCCCACTGAGAGGCCTGCCAAAGTCTCCTACGAAGGGGACTCTAACCCACAACCGGTGGTCAATGGACTCTCCTAGTTCAGCTTGAGCTGGAGACATGGTTTCAAATATTTGAAAATCTTTGGCTGCATTTAAATGAATCTCCCTGTTTCTGGGGCAGCTTCAAAAATGTAAACATCAAAATACGAAAGCACTGTTTATTTTTTTCACTTTACATTACAAATATTTGAAACCTGATCCACTGTGTAAGTTTCAGAGACCTGAACGTTAACATCCCCTTTACACACGTTCTCTTCAACAATTCATTTACTACATTTTTTTAATAATAGTTCTTCCTGTACGAGCTTGCCAAAGATAGTCAAACACACACACACTTACAGACATCTTCTTAACTGTACCTTTCAGTCCACTCTCCTTCGAGAGCTCAGGGAGAAGTTGGGCCGAATGCAGTATTTATAAAATGCAGACAGGGATTCCACTCAAACCATACTGTGGTATGAATGCAGCAACTCTTTTTTTAATCATAAAAAAAAAATAAAAATCACAGCAGGGTTTAAAAAAAGTCCGAAAGATGCTTCCTAACTGTTTTTAGGATGTTTTGTGCATCTGAAGTAGTTTGTAAATTAAATACTCTGCATGAGCAGTACCACAGTGCAGATAGGTTTGTTGGAAACCCCGAGTATGTTAAACATACATGTGATCAGCTGTTGTGCCTTGAGAGTAGATTCAACATGTCGTTGCCTGGCTCTGCACACCGTCTGAAATCGTTTCACTTCTCTCCGTGTTACCCGGTCACCCTCGCCTGCCGCCACAGTCAAACCAGGTGTCCTCCTGGTCTAAATGTACACTTGTGGCTCTGTAGGCAAACACTGACAGAGGCTGGAAGGATTTCAGAGGCATATCTTTTTAAATTCAGGTGTGTTATTTCTTAATGTTTGTGGGGGAAATGAGTCCAGTTATCCTTTATATATATAAATATATCTGTTGACAAGTTTGACATTAGCTGCTTTCTGTTTTTCAATATGCAACCACTTTGGTCATAGAAGAAAATGTCATTACAGCGTGTCTGGAAAAGAAGCAAACAAAGAAGAATTGTTTTCTTTGCACTGAAATGATTTCTGTTAAAAAGTTGATTGTAGTCGAGTCAAAAACTGGCCTGTTAACTGTTGCTGGACAGAGATGTAGCTGTCAGTGCTGGTTTCCTCGAAACATCTCATCAGGCAGTCTGATTGCTTTTTTTCCTCTTAGACACCAAATAAGAGGGAAAAAAAAGTCAAAGAGTGTTTACTTTATCTTTTAGGTTGAAACATACAACATACAAAATCTCTGTTGAAGTATTAAGAACAGGACTACCCTGGTGTTGAGATGTTTCCGGGAAACCAAGCCTAGGTGACGATGTCATTTTCATGGTTCTTCCTCAGACTGGCTGGCTGGAAACTGGTCATGACTGTTCAACTAAGGAAGAGATTTATTGGTTTATTTATTTAAAAAATGTACAGTATTTAAAAAAAAAGACAAAAACAAGAGAAGCTCTTCTTTTTCTTGACACTAAAACATGCGTAACCTTGGGTTTTCTTTCAAGACAAAATGACAATTTGGACTACTGAGAGTTGTGACATCCCAAGTGTTTTTGTTGGGTCAACTACAGTATGTTTTTTTAAGGATTGTTCTGGTTGGTTGATGTGCAATATGTTTTGTATGCAGGTAGTTCTTAAATAAACTTGATCTTCCATGTAGATCCAGAACTTTGTTGTGTCTGGCTCTCATTGAATAGTAAAACAAAGTGCTCAGATGCAAGGCAAAGATGTTTCTACCACCTTCAAGTCTCAATAACAAATCAAAGTACCTACATAGAGTTATAACCTGGTCTAGTATGATAGACAGGATATGTCTTTAGTTATGATTTAATGTTTTATTTCAAGTACCAGTAAATGTAATAGAATGTGTTTATTTTTGCAGGATCTGCAGTATCCACAAGAAAATTCTGTATTTGGGTAATCCAACTCAATCTCATTTTACTCTTTAAGCAATAATAGCATCACAGTCCAGGATTGTGAAACCTGCCCAACATCACTCTCCTTGGCACTGAAGCACTGTTGGCTCTCTTCACTTGATAAAACCAAAATACAAATATTGTAAGTGGGTAATGGAAAAACTGCCAAGTCTTAGAGTGTTTTTGTTGGGTTTGATTGTTGCTCCTGCTCTTAATAACCTCTTAAAACATTTCCCGAGGCAAAATTTTTCAACCCAACAAACTTTTAATCAAATCAAGTAGAAATCTTAAAAAATATATAAAAATTTTGAATGAAAGAGTAGAAAAAAAAACTCTACAGTAGACAGGTTTGTATTGTTAAATCTATTATTTGAATAGTAAATCTTGGTATATGTTTTATCTTACATAAGAGAAAATTCTCTCACTAACTGTACAGTGGGATTCTCATTTGAAAACGAACACGAATTCAGTCAAGAAGTTCAGTTTAAGTTTGACCTAAAATCAGCAGAAAGAAATGTGTCTCTTAATTTGGCCTGAACTGAGCAGCCTGTCAAACTGTGGCCCTCACAGTCAATCAATCAATCTATATCAGTTTGTTGTTATTTCATAAAAAAGCTCTAGACATAATTATCTTTATAGGTGCTTAATAAAAAGAGAATATCTGCATCGTGAGAAAACACAAGGCACTATTTAAAACCAGTAGAAACACTTCCTTTAACCAGGCAGAGACCTCGAGCAGATCCAGACTCATGTTAAACAGATATTTACCATGTGTTTAGCTGAGGAGGTGAAGAGAGATGCAGGGAGAGACAGCGAAAGACGACAAAGCAACAACAAAAGCAGCATCAGATAAACAGATTTAAGGCCACAACATCAATAAAGATGTTAAAAGAATCTGTGACATTTAGCATCAACAGTGACAGATGATAATCCTCGGGTCAGTTTAAATGTGACACAAACAAGAACGGCATAGTGAGAACGAGATGAGGAGAGAGCGGTTATTAGAGCAGATGATGTCAAGCAGTTTAAGAGTCACAATGACAGTTAAATGAGGAGAGACTTAACTATGAGTCAGAGGACCTCTTTAGGCAGGAATTGTTTCCAAACTAGGTGACAAGTGAACACACATGCAGGTGTCAGCCCCTGCTGGACACAATAAACTATCAAGGCCTTTGACAAAAAAAATAAAATAAAAAAGGAAAACTATCAGAAACATTGAAAAGTCTTAGTAAATTAGTCTGAGTTCTCCTGAGGTCTGAAAATCAGGACTTCTGTTATGAGTGAAACTTATCAAGTTTAGAAAATATGAGTGATTGATTTTTTTCAGTTTAGAAAACAATACACAGTGTCTTTGGTCATTAAGCCACATTGTGTTGTCTTTGCGTAATCAATAGGTTAGTAGGCTGAGAGCAGGATAATATACCGCCTGATGGAGGGCAGGAACTGGTGAAGAAAGTGTGAAGGGTGAGCTGAGGACCTGACAGGAGGTGACTGGGGTGAAGGGGAGTGCAATCTTGAACAAACACCGACTGAAAGGTGAACGAAGGAGAACAGATTTACATTTTTGGCAGCAATTAGTTAGTTTGGAGCTTGAAACAGTTAATTAGCTGATCACCAATAAGAACATAAACAGGGAGAGGGGTTTGACATGCTTGAAACTTACACTTAGACTAATGATGATAAAGCTAGGACTTATATTAATAGTTGTAACAGCTGCAGTCAGGCAGATTGACAGCAGAAGGCAAACCTACGAGACAAGAGAGCTCAAAACACCTGCTAAGATGCGTGGTTAGGTACATCTCCTGGGACCGAAAGCAAAGAGCAATACAGAAAGGTTTACCTCTCTGAGCTGCTTCACCCCTACGCTCCTGCCCGGGGCCTCAGGTCAACTGACCAGCTGCTCCTGCAGGTATCAAGGTCTAAGCGGAGGCTCAGAGGAGACAGAGCTTTTTCTGTTGCTGCTCCTACGTTGTGGAATGACTTACCTCTCCACATTAGACAAGCTCCCACACTGTCCATTTTTAAAACCCGTCTAAAAATCCTCTTTTATTCCTTGGCTTTAGACCCAGCATAAGACGACATTTGTTTTACTGCTTTTCCATTGCTTTTCATTATATTTTGAAACAACTATTTATTGTTGTTTTATGTTTTTATGTTACTATGTACAGCACTTTGTGTCAGCTTTGGTTGTATTTAAAGTGCTCTTTAAATAAAGTTGAGTTGAGAAATTCAAGAAGGGAAATAAACCTAAAGGAGAAAGGCCAGAAATAAATCATGAAGGGGCAAGACCAAAACATGTGAGTTGCCTCATCCACGACAGCTAGGGTTAACAGTTGGGTTTATTCTAACCAGTCTGACATTTAGAAGTGAATTTTGTGTAACACCTTGAACTGAATTAAGGTATGACTTCAACAAATACAGGACGGATGTACAGCAAAGATGCAATTTACCCAGATATCTTCAGAAAATACCCTTTCTAGATCATGTTCCCTGGTCTCCTTTATTTTAGAGCAGTGGCTCTCAACTGGTCTCACTCTGGGACGCACATTTTCCCATGGTCCTTAAGTTGTGACCCACTTTTATAGAATTCAAACCAAGTAAATGTATTTTTTATCAAAAAAAAACTTTATAGACTCAAATCTTTAACATAAATCAACTTGTTTTATTAAGTAAAGTGCATTTGAGAGCACATGAAGGGGACAACATGAGGACGACAACTACTGAAGTTGTGTATACAGAAAATATCAAATACGTAATAAATACCACATTAAATATTTACTTTTTTGACCAGCTATTCGTGACCCATCCAGAACGTGTCCACAATCCACTTTTGGGTTGGGACCCACCAATTGAGAACCACTGTTTTAGAGGACCATACAGAACTATCTCCTGAAGTTGTGTATCAGATTCGAGTCTCTCTCTGACTCTCTCCCAGCTCTCCTTCTCCTCCACACGCTACAGTGTCTTATATAGAGGTACCCTGACTTGGAGTGATGGCTGGTTACAGGCCTGAAGATGCTGTGCACATCTGCCGGCTGTCTGTAAGGAGCTATTTGAACCTGAACGCGCCCTGCTGAGGTCTCTTCTTCTATTGGACCGAAACACGATAGCAGCAAACACAATGGGCCAGTGAAGGGCCTAATTATTGCCCCTATCATTTGCATAATTACAATGTTTCTCTGAGGCAGGGGCAGTATAGAAATTGTAACTGTAGTGGACCTGCTGTCTCTCCTTAGTGGAAGTCATATTTGAATGGAGAGAGCCTGTTCTGCTAGCCAGGCAGCTCAGCAGCCAGGCTCAGGCGAGAGGTCCCAATCAGCCAGCCTCATAGACTGCTCTTTGAATAGGATTTAAAAAGCCAACTGTGTGGAGAAATGAGAGTTTTTGCCCCCCAAATCATATGGAATTACAGTGCGGGTTGCATATGTAGGGGGGAGCCAGTGGCAAGCACAAAAGCCCACAGGAAGCAGCTATTTCTGTGTGTTTTATTAACCCAACCAAGCAATTTAATTCTTTTGTTCGGGGGAGTTCTACTTCATTGATTAACAAAAGCGGGGATATAATTTTTTCAGCCCCTTTTGAAAAGCCTGAAATGTCAAGCCTTTTAAAGGAGATTATTCTGCCTGTGTGCGATGAATAGAGCCCAGAGTAACCTTTTGTCTACAATTAAATATTCCAGCATAAATATAAAAGAAAATCAGAGATGGGGAAAGATTGAGTCAGGAGAGATTGGAGAGGTAGATCCTCTGCCCGATAGTGGCAACAGCCTGGCTCTAATTAGATATGCCAGGCGGGCTGTGAGCAGTCACTCTCCACAGCACGCCGAGAGAGGAGGCAGCCTGAGAGAAGAGGACTGAGGGAACCTATCTGCTCATCTGTCTGTCCGGCGCCTTCCTCTGGGCATCCACAAGGTATTTCAGGAGACTTTGTTTTGTTTTGTTTTCCGCCGTTATTTGTTTTTCCTGACATCTTTGCCGCCGTGGAGGGACAGTCTGAAAGGCAATGCCTTCTGGGAACTGCATAAACAGAGAGGGCTGAATGAGAGAAAAGAAAAGTTGTGAGATTGTTTATGATTCTGAGGAGGTGATGAGGAATGACAATAAGATACTTGAGGGACAGAGAGGAGGTAGAGTGAGGTGATGAAGAGGGGTGATATTTAATAAGTTTTGACTCATGCAGGGATGGATCTGATTGGGATTTGTGAGCTACATTTAGACTTTTAAGGCGTTTTCATTGTACTGGGATGAGGATTAGATGTACAGATTTGATATAAGTGAGCTTTGCAGTGTCTTCTTTCCTCCCTACTGATAAAATCATCTGCAATAAAAGTTTTGCTCTCAGTTGATCAGAAGTTTTTGTGACTGTTGCTGAGGAGGCTGTCAGCATCTTGTTTTGTTTTGTGAAGATGCCACTCTCTCAGTTCTGCTCAATTAACAAGACTCTCTGTTATTTATTTAAATTTAAAAACAGAGAAGTAAAAGGAAATCTTAAGCCTTTAACTTTCCTTTCTGGTTCAGTTTGACCTGCTGAGCACAAGTCAGGTTCTGACGGATGATGCAGAGTCCTCTGGTCTGTGGATTTTTTCCCTGACCAATCATTTTCTGGAGTGACTTCATGAGATCGACTTCTCTGACAGGAGGCGTGGTGCTTCTTCTTGCTCTTTGACAGGAAACATTTTTGACTTTCTGACATGTTAAACAGAACTGTTTTATTCTCAAGTCGGCGCATCAATTTATTTTTATATAACCTGGA